CCCACCCTACTGGGTACATCAACCAGATTCGGAGTCCCAAATATCACCCGACCTCTTCAAGGGCCTAGCGGTCTGGCGGAGGTCTCCAGCCTAAAGAAGTCTCGAATCTGCTTCCGAGCTCCGCCGGTCCTCCGGTCGAGGGGTCGCTTGTTCGAGACACGCTGATGTTCGTAAAAACTCTTTCAATGAGCTGCATGGTTTCGGCACCAATCTTAGATTGCACGTGAAAGTAGCCCTCTTGCGATTGTGGTTTTTCCTAGCCGACCACCGGCCTGGTTTACCAGGAAGCTGGCTCGGTGAGCTTTTTTGTCTTTTTTGCTCAACATCCTGTTGATCTTGATGTTGAAGCACCTTCTGGCGGTTGGGTCTCAGACTTGAACCTCTTGAACATCTCCCCGATTAATAACTACGGTTTCCTCACAGAAGCAATTGAAGCCCAGACTCGAACATCTTGAACCGCATTTTGGATCTTGAACCACATTTTGAGGCCCTCCCCACTAACAACCCCGAAACGGTTCTTTAGCAAAGCAATCGAAGCCCCAAGACATGAAACACCTTGGAAATTCCATTTTTTGATCTCCCCAACTTAAAACGCAAGGAAATTCATCTACATATTTACATCGCGCGGGTATTTAGAAAATGTCATTGCAATCTCGACATGAAGGCACACGTTCATTCCCCCACCCTCCCTTCATCACATCATACCAACAACATCTTCCCTCAGCCCATCTTCACCCACTATACACGATACAAAGAAAATAATTCGCATCCACTCTCACTCCCTCATCAAAGACAATACAATGGAGTGTCTCATCAACCTACCTAAAAAAATCAACAACGCCATGCCAAATCACAACCACCTCCAACCGCCCGCACCACGTTCACGTCGCGTGATCACCTACCAACAGGCCAATCACGAATAATCCACGCTCGTAGGCTGCCGACTCCCATCCCTGCGCTCCAACCTCCTCCTGCGCCTCCGATCCGCCGCGGCGCCCGCATCCGTCATCGGCACGCTCGTAAACGTAGCATGGCTGCCACCAGGGCTCATCAGCCCCGCAGGGCTGTCCAGCGTGGAGATGGTCGCGCCGGCAGCAGGCACGGCGCCCGACGGGCCCGCAGCACCACCACTACCGCTCGCACCGCCAGCCGCAGCACCGGCCCCCCCGGAATAGTACGCCGAGTCCTTGCCGCCGGCGCGTCTCGCGAAGGCGGGGTTCGGCGGGTCCAGCTCGTCGGCCGATGTGCCGGTGGTGTTTCCTCCCTCGACGCGCTGCTCGGCGGCGGTCTCGGCGCGGCCGCGGCTGGTCGACTCCCGGCGGTCGCGGCGATAGCTCCTGCCGGCGCTGGCAGCGGTGGGGGTCTCGTTGCCTGATTGGCTGCTGACGGAATCGGCCCGGCGGCGGGGGCGGCCGCTGCCGCCTGAGTGTCCGACGGCTTCTCCCTCGGCGACGCGCCGGAAGGTGAATCGGTTGGGGTCGTCGTCGGCCACGCGCAGGCTTACGCTGATGGGACTCTGGTGGGGGCGCTCCCCCCGGCGGCGGCGCTCTTCTTCCTCGAGGGCTAGGGCGCTAGCGGAAGCGTTGGCCGCCGCGATGGCCGGGTCGACTTCGCGCCGTCTTCGGCTACTGCGGCTGCGGACGGGGGCGGTGGCGCCGTAGGCTTCGCTGCCGTCCGAGTCGCGGTGGAAGATCCCATGCGGGTCTGGCGGGATTGGTGGCATGGACACTGGTTCCGCCGCATCGTACCGTGGAGGAGGCCCGGGCATGGTGCCTGCAACCGGAATGGGCGCTGGGGGTGGCCCTCCGGCAAAGGCTCCCGGCGCAGGAGGGGCACCAGGGGCGGGGACTGAGCCTGGAGGAGGTGGCCGCATACCCGGCGGCGCTGGATCATATGGTGTACTGCCGCGCGGCTCAATCGATGATTCCTCCGAGAACACTGAAGTTCCTGTCATGGTCCCCGTCATGGTCCCCGTCATGGTCTCGGTGGCGGTGATTCCGGACGGTGGGGGCCTATGTGGTCGCCGTCTTGATCCTTGTCTGGTTGGGGTGGGGTACCCGTCGCCCGTGTACTTTGAGTTCCGGCGCCCTGCTCTCCTATCCTCCTCCTCCTCTCTCCGCCTGTCTTCTTCGTCCCTCAATCGTTCCTCTTCCCTCCTATCCCGCCTGTCCTTGCCCATTTTGGCCAAAAATCCCAACCCCATGCCGGCAAGGAGCCCCTTTCCGACACCACCGCCGCTATTCTTTCGCGCCGGCTCGGAGGCTCTCCTAGAGGGGCTAACATAAGACGAGTAATCTGAGCCATCGATCGTGCTGTCAAATCGAGACGTAGCCGCGTGCGAACGCTGCGGGGTCATAGGTCTCGTCGGTCTACCACCGCCAGCCGGTGGGCGAGGGGGCGGAAGGATGGATGATTCTGCATCGCGGCGGCTCGGATATCTTCGGGTGTCCTCGGTCAAGTCTGTAAACTCGCTTTCGGTGAACTCGCTCCTTGGCGGCGGGTGCCTGCGTACACGGCTAGGCGTGTCGGTCGCGACGGCCGAGTATTCATCGTCGTGGCGCCTGTCTCCACGGTTCATCATCTTGGCGACTAGCGCCCCCGCGCCCAGTCCGGCGCCGACTCCAAAAATCTTATTCATGAAGCCGCCTCCACCGCCCCCGCTGGTTACGCCGCTCACACGGCGTTGGTCTGGATGTTTCTCGTCGTAGTAGCTATCCGATTCTCGCCGTGAGGAAATGACAGTCGCGCGGTGCGGACGACCCACCGGGCTGGGGCTGCGACTCAAGCCTCGTTCGGTGTCCTTGTTCTTCTTGCGGCCCCGTAACAGTGCTATTGCTCCCGCGCCGGCGGCGAGTGGCCCGAGCCACTTCATCATGCCGCCCGATTTCTCGGTGACTCGGCTACTTTCGTCCCCGGCACCAACATGGCTGCTGTGGGCACGGCCTCTGTTGTAATCTCGACGGCCGTAGTCGCGGTAGTCCAGGATGAAGTAGAGCACTAGCAGGAAGCCCATCCAAACAGCGTAAAGGATGAACAGGGTGCTTGGGCGACCCGTAGAGCGTGAGACCCAGGGGCACCTGAACGATACCCATCAGCGTGATGGCTCGGCCAAACCAGCGGTGGACGTGTAGCCGAAACGAGCGGCCAGTGATCTTGCTAACGAGGCGGCCGCCAAAGGCCTGGAGCAGGATGAGGACATAGATAGCGACGCCAATGCCATGGTGGGGGTTCGTCAAGTTGCGTGGTGGACCGACGGCAATAAACCCGAGGACAAAAACAACGGTGGTGAGGCCGACGGCGCAGGATTTGCAGATATGCGTGGTAGCGGACGGCGCTCCCCGGCTGGCGGGTGTAGAACCTGGCTAGTAAGACGGCTATGGGGACGATGAAGAGGAACGTTATCGCAGCAAGGACGCCGTGGCCAAGAATCAGCGAGTGATACTCCGTCAGTGTCGCAAAGCGGTTCCCCATTCCTATGCGGCCCTGGTGTTAGTGGTGCTGGCTTAGGATATCTCGGTAGGGTCCGGCCCACATACCATTGTAGCGCATAGTGTCAAAATTCAGCCCTACAAGGTTGGGTAGCAGGAATGTGTTCTTGGTGAAATCCCATGTTCCATCGCCCACCGTCAGGGTGTCGGAAGAGTAGGAACTCGACCCCGGCGGGGAGAGGTTGTCTGCCGGCGCCATTGCGGCGATGCGCGGCGATGGAGCCCAGCGCGGGCGGGTTGGGGAGTGGTGTGAAGCAGAGTAATCCGCAGTCGGGACACCGAGCTGTCAAAAGATTGTGCAGTTTGCAATTGTGAAATGCTGGGCTTTTTTATCTGGACCCTCGACGACCAACCCCCGGCAATGAATCCCGTCAATTTGGCGGTGGAAGAAGGAATGGCGGGGCAATCGGGCTGTCAGGCGTATAAGTGATTGGACGCAATTGTGCTCCTGTCTTGCACATGGATAACTAGTGCTCGTGGGGAAATAAGTCTCTAGGTTGTCTTAGAAAGAGAGGACGGCCGTGGTGCGGATTTGCATCGTCATCTTGCCCATGGCAGAAACAGCCTCCAAAAAAGTGAGAACCTCGGTGGTGCCCTTGGACCCTTCGATGCGTTGGCCCTGCCGTCAGCTGGGGATGCCAAGGCCAACAACTGGTTGCCGGGGAACCAAGCGAGCCAAGCTCGGGCCTCCACCATTTCACCATCCATCTGCGGGGAATCAAATGTGGGTCCGTCTGAAGCTTGAGTGGCTTGGGTGGCTTGTTTTCAGACCAAGTTTTTGTGGGTTAAAGGCTCCAATGAGCGGTCGAAACGAGATACGGAGGACGGTCTTCTTGGCATTCTTCCGCAGCGCTGCCCTTCAAGCAGTCTCATGCTGCTAACTGAGAACCTGATTGGGAATAACTCAGTGGTATTGGAAAGTTCATCGAGCTGTTTCTGGTCAGTCGACACAACCGAGCAGATTGCGGAGGGCCTTGAGCCTAGGGATTCCAGGGGTCTAAAATGACCAGGTGCATCATACCTAACCGAGCTCCGGTTCCGCGTTCGTGACCGACCATGAGCCTCACATCTCGCAGTGATGATGTTGAAGCTGAAGTGATCCATGCACCCGGTGAGAAATTATCTGTGGTGTTCTGCAGGGCTTGCAGAAGGTTGGAGATGATAGGATAATGCGACTCAAAGAATCAGCCTCACGTTGTGGTTTCGAGAGTATTTAGTCCCACTCACCTCATCCCATCTCTCACCTGGCTGTCGTCCCATTTCTTGTTATCCATCCCATGATTGCCTAGGTACCTAGGTAGTTACTCATCAAAGTAACTTCACAACACACAACACCACAAGGACCAACCATGTCCTCATCTCACTCACCCCCCACCTCCCCCTTCGCCCCGACCTCCACATCCACCCTCCCCTCCAGCAGCTACGCAACCGTCTCCCTCCACAAATCCGACACCATCCGCTTCCTCAACTTTCCCCCCTCCCTCGCCGCCGCCCTCGAGCCCGCCATTATCACCGCCTGGCCGCCAGGTCTCGACTCATCGTCGCCCCCTACTGGGGGGGGACTGTCGTTCGAGTACAAGTGCAAGGACCGGCCCTTCGGCTACTTCGGCACCCAGCAGCACGTCGGCGGCATCCGCCTCATGCGCGGCGTGCTCGCCGTGCTGTACCGCCACGGTTGGGAGCTGGTCACGTCCGTGCTGTGCAGCAAGCGGTATACCTCCAAGGACACGCTGTTTTTTCGGAGCCGCGCGCGGGTCGAGGGGGTGGCGGGTGCGGGTGCGCTGCCCCCGGTGGAGTGGCTCGTTGTAGCCCCCATGCGGACGGACAAGCTGCGCCTGGTGTACGACGCGGATGGGGAGGATAGCCAGCATGACCATGACCATCTCGGGTTGTTGGTCGCGGGGGTGAAGAAGACGCTGCAGGAGATGGGGTGTTTTGAGAAGGGTGATTGGAGTCATGATTCGTTTGAGTTTGAGCTCAAGGGCAAGCCGTGGCGGTCGAGGGGGGAGGCGGCGGGCAACGCGGTGCGCATTATGGTGATGCGGCTGCTGGAGTTGATAGAGGGGCATGGGTGGAGGTTATACGGGACTTTTGTGCAGCGGACGGGGCAAGATGAGGATAGGATCTTGGATACGTGGTATTTTGTCCGGGAGAAGGGGAAGAAGGGACAGGTGGTTGAAATGGAGGCATCGGTCAGTTCGTGATTGCTGTGAAAGGCACACTAGCCATTTCAAATACACTCGTCAGCAGCGATTTCCTGAGTGGAGGATAATCAGCTTTCTTACTACTTTCAACAACATGAATGTATTCGGATATACAAGTTATACAGTGCACCTGGCCTTCCATGGTCCTGAGACAGGCACCAGCGTAGCTGCCTTGCCTATTAGACACTTACTGCGGCAGGGTTATCCATATAGAAAGAGCTTTCTCCCGCTCTTGTCAAGTGCCCGCCGAGCGCGCAAATCGCACATGCCTCCAATGGAGTTCCTTGGGCAGTGTAATCTGGCACCTCGCACCTACCCGATGCTCGACAACTCATGTCTCCCTATTCTCTTTATAAAATGCGTTGTTGCCCCTTCCCAGATCTAAGGTCTTCCCAAGCCACCTTCTCTGATGTGAACCTGCCCCTTCCAATACTCATACCACAATGCATCAGACCACAATGTACCTGGAAGGAGTTCCATGCTCAGAGACGAGCATTTAATCTCTTCTCTGATCGCATTCCTGGACCTCTTCCTTTTCCATTCCAACAATCTTCATCCACGCCTCAACATCAATCCCATTTTTGGTCATTTGAGCATCTCATCATTGTTTCCTTTACTTAATTTGCTCTTACCAGCTTTTCCATTCTCGGATTGTCAACCGATATCATGAAGTCGGCACTCTCGGCCGGCCTCGTCGCCGCCCTCCTCTGTCCCACAGTTGTCATCGCAGGCTCGACATGTCCAAAGACAGCACGCGGCTCACACCGTGTTACCTGCTCCAGTGAGATTGACTTCACCGAAGTCCACGAGGAGGGCCACCGCCATCACGGTCACCACAAGAAGAGGCTCGAGACGACACGTACGATCAGCCTCTACAGCTGGTCATTTCTCTGGAACTGGGTAGCCAAGGATGACTGCCCCAAGACCACGGCCCACTTGTCAACACTCCTTCCGCTCCTTGCCAACACCCATCACGGGATCAAGTGCAAAGTTGAGGTCGATTGGGCCCTTGAACATGGCGAGTCGCACGGTTCAGCCTCCGGCGGCTCCCACAACGACGCCATCGAGCAGTCCCATGGTGCCTCTGGGAACCAGTCACATTGGGAGTACGCTGGCCACGGCCAGATCGACTGGCTGTCTTTACCCGCCAAGATGGAGTGGCCTTTACACGCGAGCTTCGACCGTCCCGACCAGTTCACCGGGTCGGGGGAGCTGGGCGCCAAGTACGAGGTGGCTGGCCATGGTGACGTGAACAAGCTTGAAGTGAGCTCGATCATCCCTTGCCTTGCTTGGTCGCCCACTAACTATGCATCCCCAGATCCACAGTGGCCATGGCAACGACTTTGCTCACTCATGGGCCCGCGACGAACACTTTGGATTCGGCGAGCACGGTGGGTATGACGAGCACCAGGACGAGGGACACAACAACGAGATTGGCAAGATTGGCAAGCGCTCCCACCACCACAAGGAAGTGCCCCGCCCCTCGGTGAGCAAAGACCATCGCAAGTTTGGCGGACACTACAACACCAAGACTCTGCACTCCTGCTGGGTCTTTGAGAAGTACCACGTCAGCTCGCGCCAGGTCATCCCCCAGAAGAAGAAGCACCATGGGCACCACAGGGGACACAAGGGACACGATGCCGAGATCGAGGCGATCCCCGTGATTCCTTTCCACCAGCCCACCTGGTCGATCTGTGAGCCGCAAATCCCCCTTCCGGTTCCTTGTGAGGAGGAATGCCACGGCGATTCTTGCGGCTCAAAGCAGGATGATTGCAAGGGTGAATCTTGTGACCTAAAACAGGACAACAAAGAGGACAACAAACAGGACAACTGCAAGGCCAATTCTTGTGGCTCAGACAACTGCCATCATGACTCATGCAACGAGAAGGAAAAGGTTGTCGAGGATTGCAACACCAAGTCCTGCGGCGACAAGAAGAAGGAGGACACACTGCCACGACGGGGTCTGCACTCTCAAACAGACACGTCCCAGTAAATGCCACGACAGTTCTTGCCCTCATGTTGCCAACAGCCAGAACAATGAAGCTTGCCAGCGGCGGTCTTGCCCCGAGGATCACCGTGGTGATGAGTCCCGCGATGACTCTGGCTCGGACAATGACTCTGGCTCGGACGATGAGTCGGGCTCGGACGACGGATCAGACGAAAACAACGACTCGGACGATGGCTCTGACTGCGAAAATAGCTGCGGTGAGGATGGCGCCGACTCGGAGGGCAAATCCGAGTGAGAGAACAGGGGTTGCGGTGGCAAGAGCGAGCATTGATGCCGCTGTTTGACTATGAACATGTACAGAATTGGGAATGCTTAGGCTATTGTTATGGTGGGTAAGGGGCAGGCGTTCATCGGATAGGGTTCTAGGCTTAGGAATCAGACACTTTGCTCGTAATCATGGGGTGCTTTGCATTGACATGGACAATTAACCATACTGTGGGTGTTTTTCGTGACGAGTATCCTTCGATTCCCTGCTTCTTTGTTGGTGTTTCTCGTTCAAGTTGGCCCTCTTGTTGCACAACGGGGTCGGTAAACCCGGCCGGGCTTAGGCTTGTGGCATGGTAACACGTCAGAATCAGGGGGTAAGGGGTAGGGCTGTGACGGGTTGAGTCGAGTTGACGCACAGCGTTGGCGTTTTGCGGGGGGGTGTGTACTCTCAGGCATCAAGTGTGGTGGGTGTGGGATGACGGAAGAGGAACCTGTGTAGCCGGTCTATCGGAGGGAACGTGCCTGTGACTGATCACGCTGGTTGTCTCGTGATTGAGATTGGGTTTTGGCTTGGTTGTTGAGTGCGAGGTCGGTGATGCTATGAGGTTAGCTTGGGACATGTTGGTTAGCTGATTAATTAACCCCCTGTGCTACCTAACCTACCTGGATCCTGTAGCTGTTGTGTGTTGGCGGGGGTTGGAGGGTTGGACAGCATCGCTTTTTTGACGGGCTCCTTGCATCAGCCCCTCTCGGTTCTTGTCGAGTGCCTTAGCGTCTGTCTGGTGTGTGTGTCTGTGTCGCGGTGATGATGCGGGAGTCGACTTCGGGGCTTTTGATCCGTCCCCGTCATCACCGTCGTTACCGGGGCCGAAAGGGGTTAAGGGGGTTTTGGATTCCTGTCACGTTGGTGATACGAATACTCGGATGGCTTGTGTGTTAGGATTCTTTTTGCAGATAAAGGTGGTACGGACTGGGTGAGGTCCTGTTTGAGTCTATTCATTATAGCACCGCGTTGGGATGCGATGCTGCGCGTCGTGCGCTTGGAAACCGCGGGGATAAGGAACTGGGTTAGGTCTTCTCTCCGCTTAGATGTTCCCTTCATGCCGAAGCCGTGGTATCTGGGTAGAGAACAGTGTTTTGGCGGTCTCTCATGTTTGAATGGATAGATCTAATGGACCCGTTAGGTAGTTTGGGGTTTCACGGAACAACGCACACCTGAGGAGTTGGCCAGCTTGGTTGGTTTGACTCGCAACGACGGCCTGCACCATCTCTCAACGATTTGCGCTGTGGTTGACCGCGAACCACGGGCAATGGGAGACACATCTTCTGATCTAGGAACTAGGAGGGAACCAAGAGAAATCCCAACATAGTTGCCTTGTGTGGCGTTAGAAGAGTGGTACGATAGCTGCGATCAGGGCTGATCTTCCTCTTGATATGACAAATGGAATGCCCCGAGCCTCACGAGGCAGCCTACTCCCCTCCAGCCACTCAGTCGAGGCTCCAGTCCTGCCGCTCGATCCTTGATTCTGCCCCTTTTCGGCGTTCTGGTCTCAGCCCGGCCATGGCATCACAAGAGCCAACCGGAATACAAGGCAAAGCAAGCAGCGTGGCGTCGCGCCCTGAATGTGATGTGTATACTATCCCAATGTGTGTCACCCTTGCCATGGGGAGATGTAACGTCGAAGAGGACTCCTCCGCAGCCGGGCGGCAAGCGCTGGTAACCGGGCAACTAACGGATGAGATGCCGATGCCGTACGTATACTCTAGTGCTTTATTGGGTGCTTTTACCGGGCGGTGCATCCCTCATGTTAACTTGCATGCCAATGCATATCCAGCTTCAAACGACGAAGCCACTGGATTATGCTGAGTGGGCAGTGTGTCAACTGGACGCTGCGGGTATCTGCATGTAATTTGGAAGGCGGCAAAGAGTGGGCAGTAAACGGGATGGAAGTAGGGAACAACGAGGCGCGTCATAAAGAGTGAAGCTGTCATTGAACGAGGGTGAGAGCTATGCTCTTCTCGGGCTTGTTCCCCTCACCTCGGTCACCAACGCGGGGTTGATGCGGGATTCATCTCAACCATTCGGCAACCAAGATAAGCCAAGATATATCAAAAAGCAAGGCTGTCGAAGAAACTGAACCACCCTGAATCAGAACACATACCAACACCACTCGGCTCATCAGACATCCCCAGCACGCATCCTACATGCCCTCATTACGAAGTCATCCAAAACCACATCTGCTGTGCAACTGAGCGCAATTGCCCTGCTTCGCAACAGGTATCGCATGTATCACCAAGGAGAGCCCAAGACAAGCCAAAAGTGGAAACCCTTCAGATCATCCTGCAGAGCCGCACCGCACCGCTCGGGCATTAAGTAATACATGTGTATGACCAAGCGAGGTTTGGCAAGTTTTGACGACAGGTCTCGAGGGAAAAGCTGAGAATGCGGGGTTGACGAGGACGGAGAGAGCGAGCTACGGCGCAGCACGCCATACTTTCCGAGTGGCTCCTTCTATCAGTTTTCCAAGCAGAGCCTTCCCAGCCGTATCCGATCTCGATGGAGGCGGGTACTGGTAAACTGAAATCCGGCAGACACGGCCCAGCCTGTTGCACTGAGTGCTTATACGCCCGACCCCAGCCTTCCTCTATCTCTGTCTGCCTCGTTATTGCCCGGTCAAGCAGAGCAGCTCTAAGAGGCAACCACCTTGCACTCTTGAAAACTGGTCCGCCCACCATGTTTCATGCACCTTCTTTGCCCAGCTTCCGAGGATCGAGAGGCAAAAGGCGAGAGCCTCGATCTGCAGCTTCGCTGGCAGCTTACGCCACAATACACGATGCGGCAGTTGATGAATATGCTATCGGTAAGGATGGTGGATGGTGTCTGGTTGCCTCGTCCCTCCATCCCTCACCCCTCATCCCTCCAAGTCCCTGCCGTACATTCCGAGTCTCACAATCGCCCACAGAACAGGATGACACACCTTCTTTCGCATCTGGATTGGCTGTCTGGTTGCGTAACATCAGAGGCTCGTCTCTAGCTACCCTCAAGACGGGCAATATATCTAGCTCCCAAGGCCTTGCCCCATCTCTATGACTGTCTTTCTCCGCATTCCTGAACGTGACAGTTCCTGCTGCGCCTCGATCTACCCCATGCCATCTCATGATTGATCTGCTGTGATTCTGGGGGTTTAATATCAGGGCCATCTATTCACCTGTCATCCACCCGGTATAAGTCACTCCCACTCCGCCCTAGACGCCTTTGCCAAAAGGGGCAGAAGAATTTTCTCTTTCTCCCAGGGCTCCAACCTTCCCCAATACTTTGGGGCTTAAGATACCCCTTTTTGTTCGACCCTGCAATATCACAGTCAAAATGCCCGGAGAAGAATTTATCACCCTCCATGAGGCCCAGCCTCAGCGGCCTTCTTACAACCCAGCAGTCAACCAACCTGCCGTCCTTGCAACACATGGTTACCAAGGCCACGTTGGGCCAACAGCCATCCCGGACCGTAAACGCCGGCGGGCAACAATACCACCCCCATTCGCCAGTCGGGCAGCAGTACTACACAACGCCAGCCCCTGCATCAACGGCACAGTGGCGGCAACGACAATATGCTACAGCGCAGCCTGATGCTCATGTCGAGATCTCCGATCTTCGCAAGGAGCGGCCTCTAACGAACGAGGAAGCTTCGCGAGAAAAGAACGTGAGGCGCACTCTCAATACTGTATAATTCGCATCGTGAGAGACGAAGGGGGCCGTCACGCTAGTGACGGTACAAAACGAAAGCCTTCTTGGGCCCGTGTACAGTTCAGACCAGACCCGAGTACCACAAAGAAGGAAGCCGCTCGCGCAGTCCGCAAGCTCGACCAGACTACCACCTCAGTAACGGAGAAGAAGAGGGATCTTACCGAGGATCAGAGACGCCAGGTCGAGCTGGCCCTTCTCAGCCTGCGGCAAGAGTGGGATGACGAGACGTTCGAAACGGCGCTTGTTCAGCTGGACGATGAACTCGAGGAGAAACCCAAGGAGAGCGAGCGGGAAGGGGAAACAGAGAGGGAGCGGAGGAAGGACAAGCACCGTAAGGAGGACGCCGGCCGGTCTGGTGCCGCCAGGGTGTCCTCCAAGCCGCACTCCAAGCCACACTCCAAGCCAAAACAACCCAAGAAGACCACCACCGAGCGAGTCAGTATCACGGCTTATTTCAAGAGGGCGCCGAGACCTGAGATTGACCTCTTCTCTATTCTGCCGCCACCTAATTCTCAGCACAACATCCACATTGCGGATATGCAGCAAGCGTATTTCCCTGCCAGCAACTCAGCCCGTGAACGGGATACTATCCCCCGTCGCACCAGCAGAATGTTCCCCCACCCCAGATGAACAACCTGCCGCCTCAGCAGAATATCCCACCGCCCCAACAAAATAACCCTCCGCCCCAGCAGGGTATCCCACCACCTCAGCTAAAAAACCCGCCGCTCCAGCCTCCTCCAAGGCCTACCGAGACTAGAGGTCCAAACCCGGCCCACCAAGCTCAGGCCTACGCCCACGATCCAAGAACGGCCCCCGCCCAGGCTCCTCCTCGGAGACCCCCCAACTCGCCCGTCAGGCGAGCTCCTTCCCACCAGCGCTCATCACATCACCGTCGCCCATCCCCACCCATCCGGAACCGCGCTCGTAGCCCGTTCAGTACAGACGAGTCAACCTCCTCCACAGTCTTCTCCGACGCAGACGACGACACAGATTACACGTCCCCCTCGACCCCCTCGTACGCCTCTAGCCGTGACTTCTTCGGTCGGCCACGGCAAAGTTCACGCTACAGGGAGAGCCCAGCACACTACGGTATCCAGCCCAAGTTCCGCCGCGGCAAGCCCCAGGGAGAGGTTCATATTCAGCCACAGCGTTCTCATGAGCGGCGACCTGATCTGGGGGGACGTCAACACACAATTCCGGTCCTTAATCAACAGCCCCTCCCTCGACACATGCCAAACCCGGCGCCGGGGCCAGGGTTCCCTCGGCCAGTACCAGGAAACGCAAACATGGCCGATGCCGTACCACCTGCCGCCCCTTCACAGCCCCCACCGGCTCTGGTCCCAACTGGACCAAGACCAACAGGACCAGCCCAGTTTCCGCCGCCGCCGCCGCCGCCGCCGGCGGGAGCCCAGTCTCAAGGGCGGCTTCCAGGACATAACCCAACCGCTTTCCCAAGCCAGCCCAATCCAACCCCTCCCCCAGGTCAACACAATCCCGAACCTGCGCCGGGGCAGAATGGGCAAGGGTTCCCCGGGGGACCCGGCTCCCACCCACCTCCGAACATGACCCCACGCAATCCCGGGGCCATGAACGGGATGAACGGAATGGGCCAAACGAATCCCAACCAGCCGGTAAACCTGGCCGGCAACCCAGTAAACGGCCCGAACCCGGTAATGCACCCAAGACACTCAGGAAACGCAGGAAACACCGAGGGCAACCCATCCCAAATCCTACCACAAAACCCCGCCCTCAACCCCACCGCCCTCTACGCAAAAGCCTACGCCAAAGGCCGCGCAGACATCCACGAGGAAGCCCTGCATATGGCCGAACGAGTAGCCGAGCGTGTCGTCGCCGCCGCTGTGCCGCTCAAGGCCGAAGGCCGAAGGCGAGGGGCGTCGCCGGTCGTGATACAGGAGGATCGCGGTCGAGGACGTGGCCGCGGCCATGACCGTGACCGCGACCGCGATGACTACAACAACAACAGGGGCAGAGGAAGACGGTCCCCGTCCCGGTCCACATCCACATCCCGGTCTGCGTCCCGATCGCGCTCTCGCTCTCGGAGCCTCGATCGGGACCGGAATACCCGGGACCGACGCCGGGAGGGGAGCCGGAGCGTGAATCGGCGCCGGGATCGCGAGGGCGGCGAGAGGAACAGGAGTAGGAGTCATGAACCGCGCCGGAGCCGTCGCCGTGGCCATCATGACCGAGACCGGTCGCGCAGCGTGGACAGGGAACGGCACCGGGGAAAGACCCGGAGCCGGACCCGAAGCAGCAGATCCCGGAGTCTGGGTAGGCAGCGCAGCGGGAGGGGCCAGACCAGGGATAGAAGTAGAAGCAGAAGCAGAAGCAAAAGCAGGAGTCTGGACCGGGGCGGCGATCGGCATCGGTACCCGAGCGGGGACCGTCATCGCCAACCCGATCGGGGCTGGGATAGCGACAGGCAGAAGGGGCGGCGCGGAGGAGAATGGGGCAGGGAAAGGAACCGAAGCCGAAGCCTCGACCGTGTTCGGCCGCGTTCTCCTCCTCAGTCGCACCGTGGTCCGCGCTCTGGTTTTAGAATCGTCCGCCCCTCGAATGGGTATGCCGTGCCCCGCGATGGTGCGGGGAGGAAGGGGCTAGAGCGGGATATGGATCGGCTGCGGCTGGACGAGCGGGATGGTGTCGGTCTGGGAGACGACGAGTTCTATGGGCAGGGCAGAAACGGGCAATTTCACGGGACACCACCTACTAGGGCGTGGGTAAGGGATGCTGGTAGGGACGCAGATAGGGAGAGGGACATTCGTGCCGAGCGGCTGAGGCGGGATGAGGAGGAGAGGATCAGAGACGATTTTATCCGACGAAGGGATTCAGGGATTGACGTCGGCCCGCCGTTTGGGGACTCGAATCCGTTTGTACCGCAACCTGGGTTTGGGAGGCGGACGGGCATGGGGACGGGCATGCACGTGCGGGTAGATGGCTATTAGTTTGATGCTGGCGAGTTCGCTGTATGGTAATGAATTGATGATGTAGTTAGATGTTGTTCGCTAAAGTTTGCTTACCGTCGCTATCTACCGTCCCTCTTGTTGTTACCGTCACTATCTGCCGTCCCTCTTGTTGTTTATCACGCTCCACGCTGTCCGTCTCGTTTGGTCTTCTGGCTGTTGGCGTGCTTCGGTTGCCAGGTGATTTCATGTTCGGATTTCCGGCCGTTGCTGGGCTACTGGCCATCCCAGCATGTCCGTTTTCGTTTTTTGAACCTGCCGTGTCTGGGGTTCTTGGTAATGCTGTGGTCCCGCAAGAGACTTGTCTGACGATCCTGCGTACTACTGCCCTGACCGAGCCACTTGCTGCGCTCGGGTTTCTGGACGGTACCGGGCTGGTGGCCATCCCAACGTTGTGGCTTTTTAAAACTGCCGTATCTGGGGTAGTTGCTACAACGATGCTCCTGACTGCTGCCCTGGTCGAGCTACTTGCTAGGCCCGGGTTCTCATCCATTGTGCCATATACTTTCCCAGATGCTGCCACTGGGTCGCCAACCTTTGTCGTATTCGAGCTACCAGCGCTGGCCTTATCCCGTTTTCTCCCTAGTGTGGGGTTCTGGCAGCGGGCCGTCACTTTCCACCACAGTAGATTCCTGGCAAAGGCCAGGTCAGTCGCGTTGTCTCCGATAAACGGTGAGCGCCCTACCCAGCCCGGATCGCCCAGCCCTCGAGTCAGCTGGTCGTATTCCTGGTCGCTCAACCGGTTGGACACATCGCAGCGTCTCAACGCGTCGTCTATTGTGCCGCCCAGTGCCAGACAGTTGGCACAAATTCCATGGTAGTAACGCCCGGCGGTGGCGCACACCGGGATGGCCTCGGCGGGTATGTTCGTGGTGATCCTCCGGCGCCGGCAGCGCTGGCATTGCTTGTTGCCGAGCCGGACCTGGCCGTAGAGGTAGACCATGGTTGCAGTCGAGGCGTTCCGCATGTTTGCATCTCGTTGCTGTGGGTTCAAATCGGGACGTTTGGAAATCATGGGTCGGGGATCGAAAGCGGCGAATGGTTCGATATAATCAGAGAATGACCGGTCGGGACTGCAAAAGAACGGCAGGACGAACCACTCGGGGTCTCTATTCATGATAACGGTGGGATTTGGGCTGCGGGTAAGATATGTAGGCCGCAGCGGGGGGCCGGCCAGGTCGTAGAAAATTCCCTTCTCGAACTTCGAGGAAGCAGCCATGGCCTCCCAGTGAGAGTCACTACCGTTAGTTACCCGGGGCCGGCACCATCTGAAGTTGGAGCCCTGGTATGTTTGTAAGCCCCGAGTTTACGAGATTGGGATTCGGTGGCCCATACGTATCTGGCCTCGACGTAGCGAATCCACGCTCTGCTCTCGCCGGTAATGTGTTCCCAAGGGAAGACGCCCAAAATATTACCTGGGCCCCAGCCTTCCGGAAGTAATTCAGATCCCGAATCGTCGGAGTCAGCTAGCGTTATGGCCATGTTAGTGGTACTCGATAGCCTGTTTCGACAAAATGGGAGAGACTTGCATCCACTAGAGGCCAGCGGAATTGAATCCCAATCAGTGCTGTCGCTCGTCGGCGGCACGCTTTCTGTTGACTCCTGTGGAGACTCGGGGGAAGGAGCCATCACGCGGTTTGTAGTTGTTACGGATGCGCGGGTAATGGGGCTCGATACTGATTGCTGGGAGATGATAGGATTTAAGGGTCTTGATTGACGGGTAACCGAATGTTTTAGGTGCCAGGTTCAATCGATGAGAAAATAGAATAACCAAGGCAGTCACTAAAAGAATAAGAGACCAAGAGAAAATGAGGGAGGGCTGTCGGTTGACGGAAAGGGGTCATTGTACTTGGGTACGTCTCGGCGTGAAAAGCGAACCATGTTTCTAATTCTTTTTTTTTTTTTTTTGCTTCCCTTCTTCTTTCCTCAAAGGTTTGTTTCAGTTACTTAGTGGGCTTTTGAGTTGCTTGTTTGCGGTGTGCCAGTCTGTCAAGCGTTCTATTATCCCCTTCCCGGAAGGTATGAATGCCTTTGTGAGCACCAGGCACCTTCCCCAATGCACGTATCATCTTGTTTTTTATCAGCAAACGCTCTCTCGAGCAATTCCATTTCTTTTGCTAGTGTCGCAAACAAGCTTAGGTTTCTCCTGCCTCCTCCCGATTTTGATCATGCAAGTACAGACCTCTCAATGACTTCATGTCGAGCAAATAAGGTATCCCGCTGATTGAGTCCCTACTTTGCTCTCATAACAACCCGCTCCCCTGAAACCTCTCCCAGACCTAAAACTACAGCCTACAAGTCGGCTCTCTACCTCCCTCTACCGAGCGCTAACCTCGCCCTTTTTGCTCTGGCCAATCCACTTAACCACGATTCACCGTTGATGAAGTGTTCGGATGACTCGAGACAACCCACATTGACTTCCTCTCAGCCAACCCTTGCAGAGATAAACTCATGGATGTAGACCGTTTTAACTTCTGGCAAACTCTGCCAACCATCCTAGAGGCAATCTCTTTGGCCGACTCTGTGTCTTTTGATTTGGAAATGAGCGGAATTCCTAATTCAGTCGGGGTCTCTCAACCCGCCGAGTCGACCTTCTACCACCTCGCGGCTGAAGCAGCCAGGTCATTCCAAATTTTGCAAGTTGGCTTGACTTGCCTGTCCTACGATCGCAAGCACAAAGGTCCGCTTCTGAATAGGACTGCCCCCGGCTCGAGATGGCTAACATAACCACAGGATACCGAGCGCGAACCTTCACCTTCCAACTCACCCCAGAGTTCTTCCCACCCAATACAGCATTGGCAAAACTGATCGACCGAAAGCTGGTTCTTTCGTACCGTAGCTTCTTGTTTCTCCAGGAAAACAACTTCTCTTTTGAAAAGACCTTCTTCCAGGGTGTCCCTTACCTTAGCCGTTCGGAGGGAGAACTGGCCAACAGTTTGTATCCAACCAAGCCCCAGCATGCGAACGCACCGGCCGAAGATAGCCCGCCTCAAAAGTCGTGGGACAGCGAATATAGAAAACGGCATCATTCCGTCGTGAGGCAGACCGGCAAGCCCATCAACATACCCCTAGCCCCACACCCTAGGCTAACACCCAACCCAGGATTCCGCTACATCATTGAAGCCCTCATCGGCGGCTCCTTCGCCGACGCCCTCGACCCAGAGCTACTCCTCGACAACAACCACCTCCCACCCACCACCGCCTCCCAACTCCGCCAAAACCTCCACCTCTACGAAGCCCGCCTCCGCGCCCACCGCCCCATCCTCATCGGCCACAACCCCTTCCTCGACCTCTGCTTCCTGCACGAGACCTTCCTCCAGCCCCTCCCCGCCGACGCCCTCGCCTTCCGCCGCGCCACGCACCGCTTCTTCCCGCGAATCATCGACACCAAGCACCTGGCCTGCCAGCTCGGCTGGAAACCGAGCCGCAACCTCGCACAGCTCTATGCCGATCTGGTCGGCAGGGGCTCCAGAATTCACCCCAAACCTCAACATCACCGTCACCACCACCACCAGCAGCCGCCGTCGCCACCACCCTTCTCTATCATCCCCGAGCCGGGGTTTGACCCCCGCGAGCGTGGCATGGCCCACAGCGCAGGGTTCGACAGCTGGATGACGGCGGTGGTGTTTGTGGTATTGTCGGGGCGGGTTTTGACTACGGGGGATGGTGGTGGTGGCGGTGTGGGATCTTTGATTCCGCCACCACCGCTGCGTGGGCTGCGTCGGGACGGGGGAAAAGGGAAGGGGGATGAGTTGTTTCGGGAGCTCTGTCCGTTTGGTGGTGGTGGTGGTGGTGGTGGTGGTGGTGGTTTGAAGGGGGGTGGTGAGCGGCCGTCATCGTCGTCGCAGTGGGATGGGGAGATTTGGAGGAGGTATGGTAATAAATTGCGGATGGGGGCTGTTGGGGTGATGGATCTGGCGCGGGAGGAGAGCTGAGGGAGTGGCTGGGTAGTCTTTGTTCATATCTGCATTTGCCCTTTGATAGTCTTTTGGGTGTGATGGTTTCGCTGTCCTGCTGTCCCGACTGCGGCGGCGATTGAACCGAAATGGACAGTTGATACATAGCGTACATTTCTAGATTACAATACACAAAAACAGAGCGCGCGAGAAGTGGCCCCGCTTGCTATGTCTTGCCAACATCTAACCCCCCTCCCCCCACCCCAATCTCCCCACCGTTTCTACCTCAGATCCATCATGCCGCGCACGCTGTGGTAATATTCCTCCGGCAGCACCTCCTGCAGCTCCTCGCGGGTCAGCCACTTGAAGTCGGTCAAGCCGTGCTTGTTGCCGGCGAGGTCGGCCTGGCCCGTCATGATGCGGCCCTTGAGGAAGAAGGTCTTCGCGCCGCGGTCGACCACCGTCGTGCCGTCCTCGCCGACCACGGGCTTGACCACGTGATGCGCGACGGGCACTCGGCCGACAACCCACGTATTCATATTGGGGCCGGCGGATTCGGTTATGACCCGGGCGGCGGCCTGGGGAGTGGTGTTAGTATTGGTGGGTGTCGTTTATGGTTTAGGTTATGATGGGGGGTGGGGGGTGAAGAAAGGGAAAATAACGAAAAAAAGGCAAGAAAAAAAAAAAGAAAAGGGCCGGGTCAAACAAACCTCATGCAGCGTCTCCTGAGTCTGTACCCAACCCCGTTGGGAACTCCCACACCTCCCTCTTTTTCTTCACCCCCCCCACCACCTCCTCCCACTCCCGCCTCACCACCAGATACAACGTCCTCTCCATGGCGCGATCCAGCCTCCTCACATCCCCCTTCTCATCGGCCTCACTCCTCCTCGGCGCGGGCCTCTCGACGGGGACCCGCTCCTCGGGCGCGATCGGCTCGCCATCCTCACTAACGCGGACCTCGGCGTCGGCGAGCAGCTTGTTGACGAGCTCGGCCGGGTCCGACGTGGTGCTGCCCGTCAGCAGCTCGTCGTTCCAGGCCATGCGCCCGCGCGGGTTGTACCGCCCAATGTCCTTGGCCGGCACCCCGTGCCGCTCCGCCAGCTTGATGCGGAAGTCCAGGTCCGCCGCCGTGTCCTGCTTGAAGTAGAACTGCCGTCGGAAGGGCGCAGTTAACCGCTCGTTGAGCCGCTTCTGGTAGAAGTAGAAGGCGGATTCGAAGGGGGTTTGTTCCCGTGTCAGGAGCGGTGCCCGCGTGAGGATCAGGGATGATTTTATGAGGTAGAGGGCCGTCTCTGGGTTGGGGTCCGTCGAGGGGGTTATGGTTGTGGTTGTGGGAGGGGTTGGTGTTGATTCGGGGGTGGTGGTGGTTTGCTGCGCGGTGGCCGGTTCGGCGGAGTAGTAGCGGCGAGAGGCTAGGGGAAGAACGGCGGAAGCCCGAGGGACTGTTCTTGCCGTCGTTGCTATCCTGGGCCGGGGCGCTGGGCGAGCACACTGGGTGCAGACTCGGTATGAGCCTGGGAGGGGGAGGAGGTTAGGTCAGCCAACATTTCCAATTGATGTCAATTTCAAAAGAAAAGAGAAGATAGCTTACCCCTCAGCAGGGCTGACCCTCTACCTGGCGCCGACATCATGGTGGTGGTGTTGTGGTTTGGTCGAACCCACACAGCCAGGTGCTGTATGTAGTCGATTTCACTATGGGACCTCTCCGTAACCCTTCAAAATCGCGGCACCGAACCGTGAACTTTTTCCATGCCGGGCCGGTGACCCGCTTTTCTCATCCCACCACAGTGCCTACACACCGCCTTCTTTATCCAGCCTAGCGCCTAACCTGACGCACGGACCATCTCCCACTTGCCATGTTAATTTTGTCGATTCGAATCCCGAAAAGTTTTCTCTTTCTCTTTTCTCTTCACGGCACCAATCCTTATCATCAAGACTGTTTCTCACCTCCAAAACGTCCTGACCATTTACAGGTGCCCAGAGGGATATGCGGCTGATTCGCTAGCGGTGCCTGCGCCGAAAGGCTATACTCCTACCGGGTTGCTGTTAGATAGTTGCCGTGAACATGCCAAAGGGTAAACATTTTCTCGTTGCGAGTCGGGTTGGGTCGGTCTAATGACACACATTCCAGCATCATTGTTGCATGGACCTGCCTGGGAAATGCAATGCTTTCATACTTTGGTCGACTAGGCCCGGGTCCGATGCTGTGTAACCAGCAGGCTATTTTTACGTTTCTTTGCGGTTCGGATGGTGGCCAGGTCCCCAATTCGGGTCCCGCCTCACCATTGAGAAGAGGGCTCGAAAACATGGACTCAGACCCAATCCCAAACCAACGCCGTTGATATGGTGCGCCAACCAACCTCACCAATTCCCCGCCTATTGCGATCACGGCCCGGCCGTCATTGAGGGCATATAGACCACGGCGTTCCCACCCCAAGCCCTATTACCCCTCCACACCAAACCAGCCGCGTAACTTCTCCCAAGCCCGTTTACCCATCCCGCATCTCTTGCGGAGACACCTTCGGCACCACTCGCGGCCGACTACGGCGTCTTCGTAGCAGGGACCACACTTTTTGCAGATGCATGTGTCCAGCCCTGGCACGTCTCCAGTGAATTCCTTGATGGTGGTCACGATGGGCCTCCCGCCGCGTGGTATGCGCTGCTCGAAGTCGTCCATGCTCCGTCGTGTTGTGAGGTATGGACTGCTAGTGGCTGAGAATGGTGGCGAGGGAGTGCATTGCCAACGCCGATTAACACTGGAAGGCATTACTTCCCAGAGTGACTTCACCGAGTGGTCTTTATAACTATGTAGTAAGCGAGGGGTGTTCCTTTGCCCAGACCACGTACGTTACAGCGTGTAAGTCATGCAAAGCATCACGGGTGGCCTCAGAAAGTTTGGACGGTGTTGGTTTGCGTGGCTACGGACCTTGCTAACAATGGTGGTATATCATGAGGCTTGCTTTTAGCGAGTTACTCGTCAGCAGTTGTCTCCAGCCCTTTTGCCTGAAGATTTGATATACGAGTCGCGATACATCCACCCGTGCCTCACTCTGGGACTCTCAATCATGACTTGCTACCCACAAAGCCCACCTCATGGTCAACTTAACCCGTGTTCCGGAAGTGGGATCCCACAGGCAGGTCTGGCATCATACCTCAACATCGAAAAACCGGGACAATTACGAGGCCCCTATTGAGCCCACGCTATGTAAATTGATCTCTATAAAGAAATTAGTGCCATGGCCATCCACACCTTTCACCCGGTTCTCATGATTCACTCCTCCGCCAAACGCACCAGACTATCATCCCTAAGCCACCCTCCACAAAGCCAAACTGATAGAGGGAGGATAGACCCCACCCCCCAATTCAATCGTTGATACACTCGTCACAGATCCCCCCCTTGGTGCTAACCTTGTTATCGCACCAGCACTTTTCACAAGCACGCGTATAGTCATTGTCCACCCTCGCCACCTTCCGCACCTTGCCGGCCGAACTAGAAGACGGCATCGCGTACTCTTTTCCTATTCTCTTGCAGTTTCCCGCGGCACTGGGTCTGTTGGGCTTGGATCAAAGCACCTCAGGACCAGCCAGGAGTTGTCCTCTGGCTCGGGCTTGGGTAGGCCGAGGTAGTCTCCAGTTCGGGGCAGGGTATTTGATTCGGGCAACCTTGGACTTGAAGATGGAGGTGGTCCGGCGGTACGTATGTAGTTCGACAGGAGCCTGCCGGGTCCGTACTTAGTGTACGTGAAGAAGGTAGGGACTGCGGTGTAAAGTGGTGACTTGAAAGTTGGGCCTGGTAGCAACCGGGGCAGAAAGGGGAGTTCTGGATCGGTCTCAGCCCTGACCATAGTTGTGTTTGAGTAGGACACACGCCGAGAGCCATGTAACAACTAGGCTCTGCCGCGGTTTAAGAGCCCTATAAAACTCCGCGTTGACCTCTCACCTAAGAAGCCACCTCCCTACAGTATCTCCAGACCTCTACACGAAGACCGCCTCTCCACGATCATATCAGCACTTGTAGCCGTAACCATTATCGGTGGTTAGGGATCTTCGCGGGAAATGAATGGCAACAACTTCTGCTTCATCAATATGACATGCAATTCTGTTGTTGCCAGCTGAGTCCTCGGATGGCTGACCATCCATGCACCTGCCACTGCATAACTGTGACCTCAAAGTATAATACATATACAAAGCCGCCCTTTTTTAGGCATCCACACATTCGCCACCCCGACCAAAAACACAAACACTCCGGAGCTATCCCGCACCTGCTAGTATGCATGTTTACCAGATAGCTAAGTTAAAACTCATATGCCCAAAACCCAACCGCCGCCGACGCCTTTGGCTGAAACACACCAGATCAGAAGGATAAGAAAAAGATACGAATCGCTGGTACCCCCTCATGAACCCGCCCCCGCCCAGTAAACCATCCAGATATTGTCCGTTGGGTATCCTATCCAGGTCCCGTTGTTTGTCTCGTGACGAACAAGCCAGCCGGCCCCGATGCCCCGAAACGCCGCCACTAAAGGCCCATTCAAGATAAGAAATCATCCCATTGTCAACCGTCATCCCGGTCATGGCTGTGTCATGATCATGCTGTTTGTGCTGTGTTCCATTGTTTCGCAGTGAAAGCCGGAGAGCCGCGATTGCGCCTTCCTGACTCTCTAGGCCTTGAGAGAAGCGACGGCACGTGCAACCTCCTGCGTCGCCAGCCTCTCCCAGCTTTGTTGCATGTCCTCGTTGATTTCCGGGTTTTTGACTTCATCGTAGATCTTGCGAGAGATGTCGCGGTTGATGGTTTCGTATTGCTCCGCCGTTAGCTGCTTGGAACGCCAGTGCGGTTTTAGCGCGCCTCGCACAATTTTACTAATGTTCTCCTTCATCTCAAAGGGCAGGGGTCGCGCGGGTGATGTGTTGCTCGACCGGGACGGCAGGATACTGTTGTGCGTCCGTCGAGGCTGCGGTTGCCGGAGCTCCAGCGCGCCGTGCCGACGAGACGAGTGCTGTCTACGGCCCCGGTGCTCCGAGTCGCTGTTGTCAGGCGAAGACTGGGGCTCTCGGCGGCTTGCTCGCTGGGGTGACGATGATCGTGATTGCTCCGCTGTGTCCAATGATAACCCTCTTGTCGGGGTATAAGACGGCGCGGCGTAAAGGGGTGCGATGTGCGAACTCAGCGTCATGACTGGGGAGCTGGCACGGTTGGGTGGCGGCGTGATCGAGCCATGGCTATGCGCGGGCGATGGGGCGTCATTAACACCCGGAATCGGCCCAAACATTTGCAACAGAGTGTCTTCGTCCGACGGCGTGCTCATTTCCACCTCTTTAAGTAATGATGATAAAAATGAGGGCGGCCCGCCACCCGCGCTAGTCGCACTATTGTTCAATGCTGAGCTGCTCTGCTGCTGTGGCTGCTGTAGTTGTTGCTCTATTTGTTGCTGCTGCTGTCGGCTTGATGAGCCGGGATCGCGGGCCACAGACGAAGATGATTCGCCGTTCGTGAGTGGTAACCGCCTGGTGCGAGGCCGCTTCAACTTCCTCTCAGGTTCGTGGTGTGGTTCCTCCTCGTTTGGCTCAGCCGTGGCGGAGCGTGATTTGCGCTTCCGCGAATCCATATCCCTAGCCTTCTCCAAGGCGCCCCAGGCAAGCCGTTCCTCGCGGGTCGGTGGGCTGGGTTGGGGGCGTTCCACCCACCGAGCCATGTTGTTCAAAAAGACGTCCCTCGCACCCAAGCGGGCCGCAATGTTAAGGCGTTGTTGCCAGCGCTCGTGCTCCTCCCGTTCCCGCTCGCGTAGTTGGCGAGATCGTTGCAGGCCCTCGAACACGGCTGAGTCATCCTCGTCCTGGTAGTCAAGGTCCAACTCGAGTGCATCCCAGACGCGACCTGTGATCCGGCCCCACGCCCCCTGCCATTCGTCGGACCGTGCTCGTTGGCGCGCGCGCCGCATGCTAGCTTGGGTACGCGGGAAGTAGTAGCCCCGGCCGGAGAAGCCCCCGTCCCCATTAGGGACATTGTCTACCGGTTGCATCACGTCTGGGCCGAGGGCGTGCTCGCACTCCATGCAGAACCAGGGACCCCGCGGAACGTCGTCAAGATCTACACACTGGGTGTGGTAGGCGGCATCGCAGCCGTCGCAAAGTAGGAGCACCTCCTCGTCACCGGCCGAGTTGCAGACGGGGCAACGCCTCCCCGGAATTTCTGGCTGGTCCACCATCTCCTCCATCCATTCTCGGGGATCGTAATCGGGCACCACGGGGGCCTGCTTCTTGTCCTCGACTTTACGAGTAGATAGGTACTTGCCTATGACCGAGTGTGTTAGTCGATCGCGTTCCGCAACAACCAAGATAGTGAAGTCGAGGGCAGCCGGGGGTGGCGTAGAGGGGGCGAACTTACCTCCAACCTTGTCATAAACAATGACGGTATGGAATGTCTGGCGGCAGATGGGGCAGCTGTTTGCCTTTTCGGTCCATTCCCGAAGACAGGCGTCGTGCAGCATGTGGCCGCACACCTCGATTTTGGCTACATTTTTGTGGGTGATGTGTTCTGGCGCGTTTTCTTGGTTTGGTTTGGCGAGTGCATCGGCATCTTCAATGGCGAGGCGTTCGTGGTGGTCCTTGAGCAGCTGCTCTTCTGCAGGGTCTAGCGGGGTCGAGATAGCGGCGCTGGTCTCAACCTCCAGGGGGTCGAGACAGACGATACACTGATCAGCCATGGCTGACGGGGAGTCGTGGACAACCCAAATAAGGAGTCAAAATCGATAGGTAGAAAAGGGGTTTGAAATTTTGAATTTATGCCGTTATCAATTTTTGGCTCGAAATTGAGAAATTGACAGCTGTGTCGATACGTGCTGCTGTCCCAGTCTCGGATCGTGATAGCGTTGTGTTGCGCTTAGGTAGGCCGATAGGGTGCTTGCACAGGGAGAAGGTGCTGAGTGGGTGGCCGCACCGGGTTTGAGTTGCAGGCGGCGGGACGAGAAGTGGACCACTGAAATGCGGCAGGAAGCGCAGTGGGAAAAGTGTGAGAAAGGAGGAAAGAGTGCTGGCCAGAGAGGTGCTCGCCCTTTTGCATCGTCCCGCAAGCTTCGGGGTGGCAGCCAATCAACAGTCTTTCATAGTGCAGGGTAGCAGTGCCCGTGGCATCCAGGCTGGCGAGCAATTCCCGGGGCCAGCTGACTGTCTCTTTCACAAGACAAGGCCGGGGGAGGGGGGAGAATGTGGCTGGACAAACCTACCAAGCCCAGGATGAATGAGAGCAGTCAAGTGTGAATGTGTACGCGATCATTCGTATGCTGGCTGGTGTTGTAGCTTGCATCCACTTGGTGATATATCCGAGGTAGGAGATGGCGATGACGGGGATGGTGTCGCACGCCATTGGATGTACTTCGTATGTAGCTGCACTAAGTACCGTTGTGAACGGCGAATAATAAGAACATTCAAGGTACATGTGCCCACAAGTGAGGGAGAGGGTCAGTCAACCCTGGTGCTGGCTTGTGGGTTGGAGTTACAATACGAAGTAAATCAACTGCTTCGCCATTAACCTGCATCACATCGGTCACCTCGTTGAATTACTGGATGCATCGTGGTTTCGGGTCAAGTGGACCATGCGGAGTGTCCAGGCTATCAACCTCCAACACCGAGCCGTCTCTATTTCAACAACTCATGTACCTCGCAATTTTGTGCCACTTATTAGGGTACGGAACGTCTAATTACATAGGTAGCTTTGTCGAAGCGAACCGATAGCTGTTCTCTTGCCCGGACTGGGATGCGCGGCTTCACTTCATCCAGATCGGGTACGGAAGAACGGAACGTTTGAGACAGTTCCCGCTTGCCAAGCCCATACCGAGCATCTGATTCCGTCATCCGATTTTGCACATAATTCCCTTGGTACCTAGCTGGCCTGCTGAACATCAGGGTACTGGTGTCGGTGAATTTGAACACGGTCGATTCGGTAACCCGATCCAAGCCCGAGACAAGATCTCCCCAATCACGACAACCCGTGCCTCTGCGTGGGGGGCCTTGTTGTGACGGTCCAGGCACATGTTTCCCTGGTGCCGGGAAAGGACAATCGCCGCGGATTCACATTCGGCGATTACGACTCAGGTGGCGTGGCAGGTCATGCTGAAGTGGGGAACCAAAGCTCGTCAGCACCGGCCGGGCTTCACCAGAGGGCAGCGAGGGCGCTGCGCTACCAAGAGCGTAGCCAATAAATGTGTCATGGACATTTGACAACTGCAAGGTCTAGAATCCGGCGACCGTGACGGCCTCTCCCCAGTTATCGTCGTAAAGGGGGGCCGCGGTGCCAGTTTGGCTCTCGCCCGCATCATATAAGTGACATCGTGACTCGAATCCGGGGACTCGTCGTTGCTCAAAGAATTGTCATTGATCGACCCGCCGTACCCAACGGCTGAATGTGTACCGCAGAGCCTCCGTTGTCCTTTTCCTTGACACCAAACCCGAAAGCAAAAGCACGCCCAGCCCTCCTCTAAACCTCGGTGATCTCGCGGAGACGGCGGAGAGTTGACCGCATAGCAGCCGCCGCAGGGGTCCTACATCGTTGGTTAGACTTGGCTTTAGCCGGTACCAGGAATCCACAGTCACTCACGCAACAGTGTAAGCACCACCAGCCATAGTCTTCTTGCACGACTTGCAGTTCTGTCGAGGTTGAGTCAGTCATATGCCAACGCCAAAGTCTGCTGCAGCCTAGTGTTGCGGAGCGGCGTGTGATTCGCAGCCGTAACCCTAGGCGCACCACACCAGGAGTCTTACCCAGATGCCAACGGCCGAACGACGAACGGTGTCTGTTGATGAATTAGGTCAAATTCTAAATTTGGAAGACCAAATTTACTCACTCTTTCCGCAGAATGCTGCGCAAGGGAAGTGTATGTTAGTAAAATTGATCAAGCCGGGCGCCGAAAACGATGCCGCCATTGTTAAGATGTAACGTGGCGGCGCGGCTGCTATCTTTCCTGGGGGTACATACTGCAGGTGTACCTGGCGTGCTGGGAAACTTCCTGCTCTATGGGATTGTTAGCAAGTGATGTCGGCCGGGCGATGGGGGGTAGAGCTTACTCTTGACGAGCTTACGGAGCGAAGCACCGTATCTAATATGGCATTAGCATCATGCCCAGGGCCAAGTGAACCGTTGCGCCTTCGACAGAGTATCCGATCGGTCTTGACCCGCCCAATGGCTGGATGAGCGGTTCAACAAGCCGAGCCGCCCAGTTCAGTCGGGGGAGGACGGGAGGCGGTACTGCGCGGAGCTCCCTTCTTTGCAAACCGGCCACGCAGGTGCCAACAACTCTCTGAAAGCTGGGCGCTTCATTTGTAACCCCCCGCTATCCCTGGACGACCCAACCCGCGATAAATCCCCCGGCCATTCCCAAGCTGGCAAAATTTCTGCCTGCACACCTCCATTGGAGACCGATCGGGTACGAAAAGCAGTGTTGTCGTCGAAGGCGCATCGGGAAGTTAACTTAGGAGATGTTGGATCACGAACCTTGTGCCGTACTATTTTCTAGAGTCAGTGGGCTACGATCACACCAGAAAAATGGTTTGTGAATTATTGCGATAACTTACCTTGCCGGAGATGCCGACCTTCTTCGTGCGCTTAGACATCTTGACTGGTTTGAAGGGTGTGGTACGTAAACTTCAAATGGGCGACTCGCTGGGTGTTGGCGGGCGTCGACGATTTTGAGAAATGTGTACTGCAATTTTCTGGTGTGCGGCCGGGGGGTGCAAAAACGCGGGATCTGGCAGAACCGTTATCCCGAAAAGCTGCCAGGAAAGCGGGGCGGGGCTTCAGCCCAAAGCCCCAGCCAAATCATTTTATGTGAGATTGCTTGGCAGTGGGCGGGGCTTGCTGAATCGATTTGGGCGTTGCCTGCCGGCGAAGCAACTGCATCCAAGCATGGAAGTTCGCTTGTCGGAGTTATCCCATGGGTGGAAACATCAGCCGCCCAGCCGCCACAAAGAATGAATGGATGTGATCAAATCGGTCAATCCGCTAGCACGGTGGTGGCTTCCTAATCTAGCAAAGTTGAGCATGAAACAGTTCGCCATGCCCTGGACCTCGGCTACTCTTGGCGGTGAAAGGGGCTGTCGATGATGTCGTCAAAGGGAGAAACAGCGGGTCAGGAACCTATGATCAGCTACAATCGTGAGTTGATCGTCAATTCTACCTAAACATGCACACACTTCTATCGAACCGAACTCACTCAATTTTCCATTGCCGTTCCCTTAGTGAGCCCATGTTTCTAAAACGCTCCTAAACCACGTAATTGCGATCTCTGTACTTCATAGACGGGGGACTTCTTGAGCGTGGAACCCTTTTGCAGCTCGGAATAGCTTCAAATAAAAAAAAAAGTGGGTAGAGCTATCTCACAACAGATTCCTTCATCATGCCATCTAAACAACACGACCGCCAATACGACATTGTCGTTTTTGGTGCTACCGGTGAGTCCACACTGCATGCATCCAAACATGGCATCCAACAAGACTGACTCAGGCTAGGTTACACCGGAACGTACACTGCCCAGTACATCACCACGCATCTGCCGACCGACCTGAAGTGGGCGGTAGCAGGCCGCTCCCAATCCAAGCTCGAGGATGTGGTTGCCGAGTGCAATAAGCTCAACGCCGACCGGGTGCAGCCGGGCATCGAGATCTGCAACCTGACGGACTCCGACCTGGCGGCCCTCGCAAAGAAGACCTTCATTCTCATCACAACCGTCGGCCCCTACGGCAAGCTGGGCGAGCACGCCTTCAAAGCCTGCGCCGAAAATGGCACGCACTACCTCGACGTGACGGGCGAGGTCCCCTTCGTCGCCAAGATGCTCAAAAAGTACGAGTCCACCGCCAAAGAAAGCGGCGCCCTCATGTTCCCACAGATCGGCATCGAGTCGGCACCCCCCGACCTCGTCACCTGGTCGCTCGCCTCCTTCATCCGCTCCGAATTCTCCTCTCCGATACGGGACGTGACTGTGTCCATCCACAACCTCAAGTACGACCCTCCTCAACCCTCCTCAACCCTCCTCGACTCTCACCTCAACCCTCCTCAACTCTCACCTCTCCCCATGACTGACTAACCCCCTCGTTCCAGATCCGCCCCATCAGGCGGCACCATCACCACCGCCCTCACCATCTTCGAATACTTTACCCTCTCCGAACTCCGCGCCGCATTCAAACCCTACGCCCTCTCCCCCCTCCCCCGCAACACAGGTAACAACAACAGCAGCAACACCCCCCGCCCCAAACGCAGCCTCCTCACCACCCTCACGGGGCTAATCCACATCCCCACGCTCGGCCTCCTCACCACCTCCCCCGCCGCCAGCACGGACGCGGCGCTCGTCCAACGCACCTGGGGCCTGCTGGGCACGGTCCCCTCGCGCAAGGCCCAATGGTACGGCGCCAACTTCTCGTTCCGCGAGTACCTGCGGCCGCGCGGCTGGGTGCGGGGCATCGCGATCCACTACGCCCTGCTGGCGCTGGGCCTGGTGATGGTGACGCCGTGGCTGCGGCGGGCGGCGGCGCGCTGGCTGTACCAGCCCGGGGAGGGGCCGGCGGCGGAGGTGGCGCGGGGGGATGAGATTGAGTATTGGGGGGTGGGGGTGAGGGATGGCGGGGTGGGGGAGAGGGCGGTTTGTAGGGCGGGGTTTAGGGGGAGTGCGTATTATTGTGAGTGTTTTTTTCTTCTTCTTTCTCCTTTTCTTTCGGTGTGGTGATGGGGTGGTTTTTGCTAACGTGCGTGCGGGAAATAGTGACGGGGATTTTACTGGCTGAGGCTGCGTCGACTCTGCTCGAGGACGACGTCGACCTTCCTGGTGGCGTGTATACCGCTGCGTGTCTGGGCCAACCGTATATTGACCGGCTGGACCGTGGCGGGTTCCATATTGAAACGAAGCTTTTGGAGGATTGAGTTGTTAGAGCTAGAAGGTCAATACGGTTTCTTTCACCAAGGGAGGGGCTTCCCACAGTTTGGATACTGTATATACGGAGTATATTGCTCTAAGTACAAAAATCAGGGTATCATCTTGAAACACAGGCTCTCTCTCGCCCTTCTAACTATGCACGCTTGAAACAGAAACCAATGCCAACTTACTCTTCGGTCGACTCCACCACTTGGACCACCACATGCTCGCAGCATCCGTCTCCCCCATCACTATCACCTGTCCTCCCCCTTCTTGTTCCCCCTCTTCTTCCTCCGTTTCCTCGTCCCCCTCATCCTCCGCAAAAACTCGCTTCCCCACCCCGTCGAGCCGATAATCCTCCACCAACAGGGCCATCCCCAGCACCGGCCCGCACGCCACCAGCGCAACCCACAACAGGACGGTGATAGTCTCTTGGTACGACCGGCCGATGGCCTCCCGCTCGGGGCTGCCCCAGGCGTAACTGCAGGCGACCACGACACTCGCATAGATCTTGTCGGCTTCACCGCGCACGTTCTCGGGCAGGTAGGTCCTCAGCTTGCCGGGGACTAGACGACCCCACACGGCGCCCGACACGGCAGACCCAACCGCACCGCCGACTTGGACCAGGGTCAAGAAGGACGCGGTGGCGACGCCGACATACTGCTGCGCGTGCCCTTGCCCATGGACATCCGTGCTCGCAGCGGCAGCCTGCACGATCAGTTGAGTGGCGACGTGCATCAGGCCGGCGCCGGCGCCAAGCATAGTTTGGGCGGCGAAAAGGGAGACGGTCGACGCGTCGCGGGTGCGGGTGTGCAGGAGGACGGTGATGGCAACCGTGTAAAGTGCCGCGCCGGTGAGAATGAAGGGCCGAGGCCGTGGGGTGGATAGGCGGCGGATAATGAGCGAGGCGAGGAGGGCGGAGATGGTTGAAGCGAAGGAGAAGGTCTGTGTGATGGGCCCCGCGCGTGAAACGGGCAGGTTGAGGGCGACAAGGAGGTACGAATAGAAGTAGGGCTGAACGGCGATGTAGAAGACGGCGAAATAGAAGAAGCCGAGGGCGCAGCCGGCGCAGAAGGTGCGGGATTTGAGGAGCTGGAGGGGGAGCAGAGGGTGCGGTGCGCGAGACTCCCAGAACGGGAAGAGAATCAGTAGGACGATTCCTATAAAGATCATGAACAGGAGTTTGGGGTCGTGCCATCCGGACGGCGAGCGCGAGACAAGGGTGAGGGGGATGAGAATTAGGGAGAGGCCACCAGAGAGGAGGAGGGTGCCGCCGACGTCAAGATCGTGGAAGAGCCGTTTTGCTGCTACTCGTGGGGATTCGCCGTCGCCGGTGGGATCCCAGCGCCGCTTTTTGGTAAGGAGTCCCATCCGCTCAGCTTTCCGGCCGTTGAGAAGCAGGCTTAAGGCAAGCGGAAGGAACGCGATGGGGAGGATCACGGCCCAGATGGCGTAACCCAATCGCCAGGTCGAATTGGCCAAGATGAAAGCGGCGATGGCAGGACCAATCCATACCGTCACGAGAAAGGGGCTGTCTGGGAGACTAGAGAAGAGGGCACGGTTGAGGAAGTCGCTGGTGTCGGCGATGAAAACCTGTTGCAGGATCTGGAGGCCTGTCGACCCGGCCGAGTAGAAGATTTGGGCGGAGGCGTATGTTTGGACGTTTTGCGAAGCTGCCATCTGGATATAACCCAGGACGCACAGGAGGACGGAGATACAGAATGCTTCTAAGCGGCCGAACACGTCCGCAAGCTTGGCCATGGGAGGTTTGATGACGGCTATCCAGGTCAGCGAAGAGAAGTGGTGATGCAGGGAGCACCTTGCACGCACCATTTACGACGCCCTGGACGACATAGACGGTCGACAGCAGTGAGTGGTTGTTGAAGGAGCTCACGGCAAACGCTGCCAGAGAATATGTGACCTGCCCTTCCAGTGACACGGTGAAGGCCATGAGGAAAATGCTGTCAGAGTGTTAGCGGCAAGTCTACTGAGTCCTTCTTCCTATATCATCAAGCCCACCAACCTCATATAAGCGACCACCAATCCCCATTTCGACCACGTCCGGGCGACCGCTTCGATACGCCGGACGCCGTCCTGCACATCGGAATCGGAGTCGCTCGCACTATCTGGCCCGGAACTGGCCGGGGTGTCTATTACTGCGCCATATTCACGAATGTCGCATTGCCCCGGAATGAGTAGCGCCCGGACATCATCGTCGCCTGCCGTCATGGTCTAGGCGGTTGAGTTGAGTGCGCAAATGGGACTCCTTGATGCCGCTGTTTCCCGCCAGGCACATCCGTGGCCACCGTGCCTACACGTTAAGTTTCCCAAGCTGACAGAGAGCATTTAGCGCCCCCATGAATCTGCCACTTGTAATTTGAGGCAGAGGTTGAAAACGGAGCGGGTTGTTAACGGGGGGCGGTTGTTGCGAAGGGAGACAGGTCCAAAACGAAGAATAACGAAAAAAGAAAAATCTCAAGCCTCCGACTTGAAGAAGAAACACAAGGCAGGCATGAAAAGCGAAGATCGGTTGTTTAATCAGGGGTCTGGCATTATTTGACTCACGCCGCTGAGCCCCTTTCAGCTGCCCGCCCTTGTGTCCCCCACGTCCAAATCAAGCCGGATTGGATGCAGGTTTCAGATGTGTTGTCCAGTAGCAAGTCGGACCCGGCAATAGGATTTGGTTGCCAGTTGCCGACCTGACCCGACTCAAAAGCACCCGCACTGGCTGGAACAACTGGCAAACTGGGCAGGGCCGATCCCGCGAGCAAAAGAAGAAAGAAGTTGTTGAAATCCTTGCTTGATGGCAACTACCCGACAACCGCGGCCCCCACCACTTCCAGGACACCTGCCAACTTAACCCCATGCCCCTCATTCGGGCAGCCAAAATTGGATGCTAAGAGCAGCTGTTGTGGCAGGCAGTCAGCGGATGAGCGGATCCGTGGGGTCACCAGGCTGCTGAACCATGCATGATCCTGCGGGATGGGCTGCTATGATTGGCCGCAGATTATCGGAATGATCTGATAACTCACCTGTAGTGGGTCGTTGGGGCCCGCTCCTGCTCGCGCTGCCGCTTCTTCCCATGAAATCTCCACCCGCGTGTTCGGCCGAATTCCGAGACTCCGTTGGTTACCGGGTATCGTCTGTGTTCCCAGCCATAGATTGGAATGCGACCCGATCGTCACTTCTGAAAGATGGGATGGCTATTGGATGGAAAACCAGGTTCAAGGATGAATTCTGAAAATGTAGTTGGGGGGAGAGATGGTTGAGTATAAAATGAATAGAGGCGGAGTGATGAATAGCTCCCATGCTCTATCCTTCGACTGACTGGTTTCCTCTGCCCTTGTTTTCTATTCCGCTAAGTTTCCACGCCCTCAATATATGGATCCTCAATCTGGACACCCTTCAGCTTTGCAGCGTTGGATCACACGGACACAGGGTCAAGCCAATCGCAACAAAACAATCGCCACCATGTTAAGGGCTGAGGTAAAAACCCCCCATGACAGATCTAGTATATACAAAATGCGCCCTTATGTTGGCGAACCACACACGCCCATGCCTGACCTCCCACGCCGCGAGGTACAGCGGGATGGAGAAGCGAGAAAACGAGAAGGATATCAAGAAGGATAACACAGAGGATATCGAGAAGAAACAAAAGGGGTACACATACCCAAAAAGGTAAAAGGGGAGAGCAACGAGAAAAACAAGAAGGGTAACGAAGTAACAAGAACGGCAGGAAGAAAGACAACGGCCACACACGCGCCCATCAACCCCTCCCAAAAATGACCAAAAACATGAAAACATTGCATTACCATTGCCATAAAGCATGAGGATATTTCCCTTTTCCCCCAACGCCTCCTCCTTCCCCCACTCCCTCCTCCCATGCCTTTGCCCTTTCCAACCTTCCCACACTCCCACACTCCTTTCCAACTTCCCACCACAACACAACCCAAGCTACTCCCCACCCCCCCCTCCACCACACCAAAAGAACAAGAACGAAGGGAAGAACCCCACCAAAAAAGGCCATCACGCCTCCTCCGTAATCCCGCCTTCCCCGGCCCCATCCGCCCTCCACTCCCTACTCCTCTCCGTCAACCTCCTGACCCCGCCAATACGCCCCGCCCACAGGCCCTCCACGGGCGTGCGGAAGGTGAAAGCACGCTGGGAGCTCACGACGCCGATGGCCTGCAGGACGGCCTTGCGGCTGTCGCGGCCAAAGACGGCCGGGTGGCTGATCCACTCGAGGCTGGCCTCGAGCTCGGCGTCGAGCGCCGCCACCGTCGCCGCGTCGATGCCCGCCGCGGCGCCACCCATGCCGCCCATGGCGCCGAGCGCGTCGTTGGACCGGCTCCGGGCCAGTGATGAGGTGGGCGGGAAGGGGGCGCCGAGGCCGCCTGAGGAGGGGTGGTGTGGGTGGGTAGCTGATGTGGGCGACGGCGTGTTCTTGCGGTCTGGGGTCCCGGACACGGTGGGGGACCCTTCCGGGCCGCCTGGGTGGGGCGTCGACGGCTGCGACTTGTTGGAGGAAGTTGCCGGTGGAACGGGGGGCAGGCCGCCTTTCCCGAGACCCTTGAGGATGGAGCGGGTCTCGTTTAGGAGCGTGTGCGCGCGGTCGTGCTGGCCGCGGCTGACCAGCGTGAGGGCGCGGGTCAGCATATCCGAGGTCAGCAACTCCATCCGCCGCTGCACGATGTGTGGGTGCGGGGGGATCGGTGGCGTGTTGCCCCACGGTTTCTTCGAGTTCGCCGCCGGGAGCATGGTGATGGCCAGGAGGCTGGGTCGTGTGTGCTGTGACGACCCGTCTCGGAGGATGTCGCCCCAGCTGATCTCGGCTTGGATTAGTGGGACCTCCTCCACCGAAACTGCCCTTTGCTCGTCTTGGTCCATCGACCCTCCCAGTGCCTCGAGCCCCGAGACGATGTTGTCCCAGGGGTCCTGGGGAAGCTGCTCCTGCGATGACGTATCCGGTATGATGACGAGCTGTACCAGAATATCTCGCTTGTCACCAAAGCGAAGGTCCCCGAGAGATGCCTCTGCGTCGCGGCCCGTCGCCCGTTTTGTGATCTGGAGCGCGCCGCTTATCTTGTGGAACTTGGCTGGCGATCCCTCGGGAAGCCTCAGCTTCAGCTTGACATTCTGGTGCGACAGCGACTGCATCGAGCCGAGACAACCAGCAAGACACTCTCGGAGCATCATCCAGTCCTTGACGTACGTATATGACGCCTTTGTCCTGGTCGAAAGCTCAATCATCGTGTCGGGCTTGTGTGTCATACCCAAGCCGAAGGAGTGAATGGTGATTCTAGTTTTCTGTTAGGTTCTGTTGCATTTGCCAAACAGATTTCAAACGGGGATACTTACTTAGCAGCCTCAGCCCGAGAAACAACGAAGTCGACGCTGTCAGTATCAGATGTTGAGGCGTCGCTGATGAGCATAATCGTGGCGATGGGATTGTTGAACTTGCGACCCATCAGCAGATCCATGGCCACATTAGCGCCTTCGACGACATCTGCACGGTGACTCTTCTGTCCCACGGGTTTGATGGAGCTGAGCACGTTGCCCCAGCCGGACCATGCCTTGGTGGTCATGCCGACGATCGGGACACCGCCACCTGAAGACCCAAACGTCACGAGACCCATGCGGTCGCGTTCCCCGAGCGCCTGCACCATGAACCGGAGAGCGTCCCGAACGAGGTTGATCTTGACCCCCTGCATGGAAGCTGAGATGGGGACCACGACCACCACGTCGACAGGCACGTGAATCGAAGGTAGCAGCGGGCTGCGGGCAAGACTGGTGTACTCGGTCGGAGCAGTTGTAGCCGATTTCGCACCACCCCACGACGAGCCCATCGATGACACGCGTTGTGGCCGGCCGGCCCGTTGCCACTCTTCCTCCTCCGTCTCGGAAAATTCGCCTCGGTCGTAGTCAGGGCTGCGGACCGGTGATGTCTCGACTGCGTTGAGGTCGAGCAGGGCTTGCTGCCATAGTTTGAGCTGGTTCCGGTTTTCGAACCGGAGGTGAAACTGGGGCAGCTCGGCGACCGACAGGCTGAGTGTTAGAACGTTCTCGTCGACATGGCCAGTTTCCGACACCTCATTGAGATGCTTCTTGATGAGAATAGACCCCTTGAGCGTGCAGCGGACCGCTTTGCGCGAGGCATCGTCTCCCCATTGTTCCTGCTGTGGTTGTGGGTGCTTCTTCTCCTTGACGCAGATGAGCATCTCAGCGAAGAGGAAACACTCTAGCTCCTGCCATGACTTCCTGTCCTTGCCAACGCGAAGGGTCCCGTAGAGGCGAAGCTTTCCAAACCTAATATCACGCGTTAGTCACTCCATCACTCTCATCTCACGAAATCCGGGTCTGGACACTGGGCTGAGACCGCCTCCCACTTACCGACCAAAGTCCAGGCCATGCCAGTTATCCACGCGGCTCCGCAGGTTCTCGGTCATCTCAAGAAGCACCTCGGGGGACTCGTAAGGATAAAATCGGGGGGCGCTGCGAGCAGGAGATGGCGCCCGTATCGGTTCTTCCACCTTCGGCGGCGCTAAAGGTGGGGGTGCACTCTGCAGGTCCTCGGGGTCTGGCCGCCAGTTGCTGTCCGGTACCTCAATGGTGACGAGGCAAGTAAGCGTTTGTTGCTGTCGTGACCGGCTGATTGTCGGAAACTCGGAGCGAACTGTCACCGTTGGGGCTGGGATAGGGTTTCGTGTTACCGCCCGGGGACTTGATAGCGACGTTTCCATGGCTTGGACGTCGTAGTCGTGTCGTCGTGGCGGCCCGCTCTGGGTTGTCTCCGGGTATCCCCCCGAGGACGCCACGCCCGTGGCCTCACTATCACTCCGCACATGTCGTTGCCCGTGATAACGATGCTCTGATGACGCAGCGTCACGGTTATCGCGATTGTCACGCAGGTTGCTTCTAGGCGGGCCGTCTCGCAAACCGCCGTGCGGACCATGGCCGCTGTGACCGCTGTGAACGCTGTGCCCGTTATGCCCGTTGTGCCCGCTATGCCCGCTATGCCCGCCGGGTCCGGCATGCCCACCAGGTCCTGCCTGCCCACCGGGCCCGAGGTGCCCACCGTGCCTATCATGTCCACTATGCCCAGTGGGGCCAGGCCGTCCTTGTTGGTCGTCCCAATGTGATGGCGTAGGAGTTGGGGTAGCTTGGGATCGTGTATCATTCACAGAGACCGCGCGGACCATGTTGCTTATTTTTTCTAAGCTCGCTGGTCAGTAACCGCTCATATATGAGATCGACAAGAGTCGTCTTAGGTTTCGGTTGATCTCACCTATATCCAAGACATTCCCCCCGCGGCTCGTATCCAAATGTAAAGGCGCATTACATGTTGGGCAATACTGTGACTCGAAATCTTTCATAAACTCGTAGAAGCAGGCCTCGTGTGAGACATGGGCGCATGAAAACTGTAGTATCCTCTCGCCGCGGAGAGTGTGTTCAAGAGGTTCCTCGCAGACGGCACACTCGCTCCCTACGAAAGTGCGCTCTCGGCGCGTTCGGGTTCTGTCTGAACTCATCACGCTGTCTGCCGTGGATCTGGTTATAGAGCTGGTTTCGTGTGACAAGTCTGTGTTGATCGAAGCAGCTGATTGATAGGAGAGTGATGGTGTGCCGGGTGTCCTAGAGGTGATAGAATGACCTACTCATTCGAGGCAAAAATCAGCCGTGGGTTCATGTATGAGGCCATGTAGACAAACGGAACAAAAACCTACTCTTCTCGGCGTATGATGCAGAAGCGGCGTAGGAGCGTGCGGAAGCAGTGCTGCTAGCGTAATCGTAGGTCGGTCGGCCGTAGTCGGCCCCCCGTGCGCTGCTCCCGCCAAACCGCGCGGTCGACGAGTTGGAGCCACCGAGCCCGAGCTCAGAAAATAACGACCGGTGGAGGCTGGGTGACTTGCGGTCCTGGTCGTTTGCAAAACCCTGGGCCTTGCTGTTGCGAGATCTATGGGATCTGCTGAACATGTGGGTGTGGGTGTGTGCGCGGGTGCGCCGACGATGTACTGTCGTTGACCTGCTTTCGTCGTCTCGTTTACCCAACTATGCCGGAGCAAAGATCCGCTCGCTACGTTGACTGAGCGTGAGACGAGTTGCGAGCGAGGCGGCGACTGAGCTGTGCCGTCGGTTCGGTGTTCAGGGTTCCGGAAGATCTTTTGTCTGTTGGCTTGTGATTGTCACAGACCGAAAGAGGTGACGCTTGCTCCCGTCCCGGGTGGGAATCCTTAGGTAGACACCCTTGACAGTGCCGTGTTTCAGGGGCGCTATCAACAATGCGGCAGCCGATCTGAGGGCAGGGGTCGGGGCATGCCGTGCTGACTTGTCGCAGAAGAGAAAAAGAAAAGGCTTTCCCCTCCCCACGGGCTCGGTCGATTTGGGGGTGACGTTGAGCGGCCGTTTTTTTTTTTTCTTTTTGCGCCGTTATATCAGCAGAATGCGCCGCAGAGGGTTGTGAACCAAGGGCGAATAGGGGGGATTCAAGGCCGTCCACCCGGCGTTCGAATTCAGAATCCTGTCACCAGGCCGTGTCGATGTTGTCGCTGAGTGAGCCGAAAGTGGTGGCTTCGTTGGAGGAACTCTGTAGCCAGTGTACATGTGCGTGCGTCGGGTTTAGTGTTGTGTTCAACGGAACCTCATAAAAAGAAACTGGCCGTTGGGTGAAGAGCCGCCACTCGCGCGTTCTTCGAAATTCCCGGTCTTGAGCGCGGCAAAACGGAACCTTGTCTTTGGTCGCAGCGCTTCGCAAAAGCAAGAGACGCAGAGTTCCGGGACCGTCGTTGGTCAATGGGGTGGGCAAGAGTGTTGCTCGGAAGCGTCGCGAGTGGCCAGAAAGCTCAAAATGGGGCCATATAAGAAAATTGTATTATAAGGCGACCTCCGAACCAAGGGCGTGGCCGGTCGCGTTCCTGCGGCATCACACGCAGTGCAGCAACGGAGGGGAAAGTTTGGGGGGATGGTGGAGGGTCTTCAATCCCTGGGCCATGGGCCAGTGGCTGGTCTGGGGTCAGCGGGTCAAATAAGGGACAAGGGAGCTATCAGCCCTGTCCCTGTTTGCAGCTTCGTCGTCGCTTCCGCGGTGGGTTCCCTGGGCCAATTCCTCGCACGACATAATTACCGGGGAATATGCAGGCCAACAACAGCCTCTTATATTTGCCCAGAATTGCAGGGTTCGAATCATTGGTTCCCAGACAAAAGGGACGGGCACTGACGGGCAACGACTTTTCTCCCTTGCCCTTCGAGAAAAGGGGAACGGCCGGTGGTTGACGGGAATTAGGAAACGGTCTTTTCCCACCACCGTTTCCACATTTCCACATTAGGTTCCACGTTTCCGCTGCCTCGAGACTGCCGCAGGCACGCGGCAAAGGAACCTGGAGGCTACCCAGACGCGGCGCAGTTTACTAACGGTGTTCCTGTAACCACCCATAGGTGCGCTCGATGAGGTAGGTGGATATACCAGCCAGGGCAATCATGGCAGCCGGTTTCTCCTACGCCGCGCTGGGACGTCCAGCCTACTTATTCCCACTTTCACAAGAAAGCAAGAAAGCAAGAAAGGGGACGGACGGCAAGGTGGAGAGAAAACTGCTGGCCCCGTTCCTTGCGCCAACCCACTGCGTCCGTGCCTCGGACAGCACCGCAACCACGGCACATTGACGCAGGATTCTGCAGCCAACCCGCGGGAACAAATGACGGGTTTTTATGAGTTTGTCTGGGCGGCTGATCCTGGCGGTTAACTCAGGTTACTGGAAACTGAAACCCACCGTATGGACTGCGTAACATGGATGGAAAGCCTAAAAAGTCGTACTGCTTGCTGCTTATTCTCTGGGCGTGCCGTTTCTTTTCGTTGGTACACGAAATACAGGGGTTTTTGAGATTGAGGCGCTTTAGAATTACAGAACTGACAAGCCCCTTCAAGTGGTAAAAATCCAACGACAGCTGGAACGAATCGTTGCTTCTAAAGTTGAGCATCAGATGTTCGCTTGACGAAATCCAAAAATGACCAGGTTTAGCTATGTTGTCTCGGGACGAACCCATCCATTAGGTTCCTTGTTCTGAACAAGCGCCAGAGCGTGGCAAGTCGCACGTGGCGTTGGGTCTCGGCGAGCGCTTGCCGAAATCAACAAATGGTTGGCTTTGAGCAGTTCTCGTGCGGCAACCTATCATTTTGTTGCTCGAGAGCTGAAAGAAGCTTCCTGGTAAGATGATGGATATCTCTGTCAAAAAATCCACCGAGCACACGACGGGCCCAAAAGGAGGAAACCACATTCTCCCACCGACACCGAAAGAAGCCCGGCATGCCTGTGTTCGGATGAAGCTAGCGGCGCAAGGTTCCCGAAAACAGCAACAACAGACGATTCAGGCGCCCGACTCACTGCAATCGTCCCCCAATGTAGCCACGAATTCCATGGCGGCCTTCTCGAAGCTCCTAACCTGACGATTTTGGTTAGCTACACCTTACGTGGCTTTAGCCTCCCTGTTTTCTCAAGACACTCCATGGATATCAGTTGTTGTCTCAACCTGTACATCGTCCAGAATTTGCCCAGGTGGCAATCTCCAACGTCCAAATCGGAGTTCGCCGTGCCTTTTTCGCGTTTCCATTCTTGACAGCTTGCGGCGATTGACGAATACCATTTTGTCCTCTGCGAGTTGGCTGTCGTTGGTCCAATACCCCCGTCCGCCACTGGCCATTCGGCCGCCTTCTAAAATGGTAAGGAGTTCGAGATCTGGGAGATCCTCCATCAGTTTTCCCATTCGTCGAATCGAAGCCAGGTGATGGGATGATCCAGGTTCACCAACAAGCCGTGCGCTACACTATCCGTGCGCCAGATCAATAGACCCTCCTATTCCGGCGAAGTCATGGTTTTTTTGGTGGGGGACTTGGGGACCTAGTGATGCAGGACCAGCGAAAAGATAGCGCCAAGTCGTCTCGTGGCTTCGAAGTGCTGCTGAGATCGGGTTCGGGAAGGGAATCGAAGCGCTAGAAGGCTTCTCCTCGTCGGAAACCAGCCCCCCCTCGCAAACAACGGATCTTGTCAAACAAGGGTTGCCAATCTCGGATCTCAGCTACACAGCCTTACACAGTAACTACCTAGAGGAGAAATGCGATTCTCCTCGCGCAACACAGTTGAAGATCCCTGTCGTTCGACGGTTCAATCACCTGGCGTTGGGATCAGGAAGACCCTTGCTGATTCGCAAGGTGGTTGTTCAATCTCCTAGCGATGGCAGTCCCCGCGCAAAGAGGGACATCAAAAGAGGGTTGCTCGATCCCGCCCCCTGGGTCGAATCGGCATCAGTCCCAGAGAGGGCAGCAGCAGCAGCAGCAGATGGATCTGTCACCTGCGGCTTGGATTGGCTGGAAGACATCCGTAACCGAAAGCGGTCGGTGAAAACGGTCCTGTAAACGGCGTCGTGAAGGAAGCTCGTCAATTAGCTACAGTACTGGAGCTCCATGGTTAACCACGGTGGTGCCGACGCCAACGTCCTTCTTGAAGGGCTCGGTCGAGCAGAACGAAATCACAAGACACGGGATGAGGTTGAACCGACAACACCGCCGCCACAATACATCGGTCCACGTCTCGAGATACTTTTTCCGTGGGGGGCACAGCTTTTTTGGTGCAACCCATAGTTACCAAGTCTCCACAGCTCAGCGGTCCTTGCCAGGAATGACGGAGACCGCACCGTAAGAATGAACTTCAATAATGGGATTTGTTCACTCCCGTCAGGTTACGGGTTCAGAACGGTTTCAACTTGTTCAAGGCTCACGAAGTCATACCTGGTTCTGCTTGAAACGATGACCCTGCACATGTCTCTAGCTTGCTTCAGCCTTCCAAAATAAGGACGGTCAAGCATTCGTTTCAGCATCGACCGGAATCCCGCACGGAAGCCGATCCGTGACTTCGGGTCTGCCCAGTGAAGATCGACCAATGACGGCGCTCAATTCCGTCTCACATACAGCAGAACCGTTGAAACATTCTTCCCCACCATCGATTGCCCGGGAGTTTGTGTATCGACATGGTGACAGAAAGCTCTCACCGGGCTTGTTCGTTGCCGAGTTATATGGTTGATCTGTATGAACTCCGTCCGGGATGCTCCGTTTTCTCTCACAGAGTCTGCAAAGACAGGGACACAAACTCACCGCTCGGATTTGAGGCGAGCCTCCACAGGCCAGAAGTTGAGGCCTCGCCTGGTCGAGTCACCGAGCAGGATGCAACGAGCCACTGGCGAGAAGCAACAGGATGGCACCGCGGCGGGGATTTTCGAGTTGCAGTGCAGCAGCAGCGCTCCTGCAGAGGAAGCCCGTTGTAACGCTGCAAATGCGTCGGGATCCGTGCACAGAGAGGGAAAGAACCCAACCCTCAGGCCCCAGGCCCCAGAAATTGGACCATTCCCACGCACCTTACCCGTCTCCGTTTCAGCAGCACCAGCACTGACCAAACATCATCAACCCGGGTTTCGCATTGTACTTTGGTAGTCATTTTAGGTCTTCAAAAACGGACAAATACTACCTACGCAAGAACAATTACTACACTACGAGAGCCCCGGAGTTTTGTTTGCCCGTTTGTCGGCGAGGTCGGGATGTACAAGATGACCCCGAGCATGGAAGTGGGAACCCAAGGACCTGACACACATGTCAATTGCCCCCAGTCAGCAGTCAATCTCAGCGAATCTGAATATCCGTCATCAGGATCGTCCAAAGGGATCGCCATGGGGCAGGCTCGGCATCGCGCAACCAAAAGCACCGCTGCCACGGTACCAGGGTACTCTCAGGGGCATCTTAACGGCCGGTTTTATCGCGAGGTTCAATCATTCGGATCGGCTACACATGCCGCTGGCCCCGGGCTGACTGCCGAACCAATCCCTCCCATTGTCACCGTGTCCTTCGGTTGCCATTGACCCATCCGCAACGGTGGACGAATGCAGGACTCCCAGCGGGTCTCCTGCCGCTTCGTGTTGAAACGAACAGCAAGAAGCAGTTCCCAACCTGCTGGGCAAAAGCGTTTGGTTTGTGAGGTCCTCAACAGGGGGGCCATTAATCTTTCTTCTCTTGGCATGTTGGTGCGCACGCAGCCAGCCGGACGCCGGCCGCCGGCCGCCGGGCACCCCCCGCGATATGCACTCAGAGCTATCACACCAGCCAGGCGGCACACCCAGCCTGCAGAAGCATGAAGCATGGCGGTGGGTGGGCGTGGGCAGGTTGCTTTGACCCATCCCAGCGGGTTCACCACTACACACTTGCCACATGCGAGCAAGCTTGCGAAGAGACAACTGAGGTCATCAGAACGTATTGGACGAGGTGCAGTTGCTCGGCAGGCCGCCGCCGCCTTCCTGCAAGTGCGGGATGCGCCAGCGAATGCCGGCCTTCGAGATCTCCGCTCTAGGCTGGAACAGGTTAACGCGCCGCCTCGTGACGGTGTGCCCAGATGTCTGTGTGTTGAACATGAGGATGGTTTCCCGTGGAGACTACACCGCTTCCGGTCTGGGCGAATGGGGTTTCGTTGATCTCAGGTAAGAGGGCAAGGCAGACATGTCAAACAACTACCGCTGGGGCAGGACAGGACGATGGCAGTCAAGTCAAACCATGAGCAACGTCGGGCCATTATCGAGTCATGGCGCCCATATTTGTGGCGAACAGCAACAAAACAAACAACACATGGCCAACTTCTCGGGGGGTTTTACCATCGATGCCGACGAAATCCACCCAGGTCATCCATAGGAGGCAACGATGCCCACAAACACACTCTCAAAGTGGTTAGGCAAGAGCCACGAGGAGCAATCCAACCACCACAAACAAGTGGACCAGGCCCAAGCAGGCAATCGCCACGACGACGACGACGATGCTCCTTCAGCAGTTGTCTATGACGGTTACGGACACGCACAGCATCGGCCCATGCGCCCAGGCCGTAGCGAAAGCAGTAAGACCAAGCCACCGGGCTAGGGTTGGTATGTATGGATGGAACGCGGTGCGTCGCGAGTCGCCCTGAGACCACATAGAATCCGCCTGCACACCCTTTTTATGGGTGGCGGGTAGATCAAAGCACCATGACGATGGCGCGGAAGAACGGAGACAGAAAGGGAGCGGAGGGACATACCGAGGAGAGCCCACGGAAGGCCCGCCCGCCCGCCTAACGGGCTACCGTCTCTTGGCCATTCACCTATGTGTGCAACATCCAGTAGTCTTATGCGTGAAGCGCTGTGGGTGAGAGTAGGGGGAGGATAACCCCTCCGCGAAGCGATAGCAAAACCACCATCGTCACTCAAAAGGTCCCCTCCCCTATTGGAGGGGAAGAGGCGAAACCCTCGAGTTTGAGACACCACCGAACGCCCGTGCATCCCGCCACCTGGTGTAGTGTAGTTATCGAATTGATACGTCACAACCACCCACGGACGATGACAGGACGACTACAGTACAGTGACTCAATAACTCGGCCGACCGGTAAGCGAGTAAGCGCGAGTAACCTCGTTGCGCAATGACACCGCCAAGACACACACCCTACCCGAGTCTCAGCCTCCCTCTATCTCAGACATGGACGAGGACAAAGCGAGCGGGGAAAGGGAGATGCGCGGCGGAGGGGTTGTTGATGGTGCGAAACGGGTAAGAAGCGTTCTGGCGCCGTGAGAGATGGGGCAGGAGTTGGAATGGACAATGGGAATGGAGATAATGTGCTATTCAATGCTGAGCTCAAGAAGTTGAAAAACGCGATATACTCCTGTATCGAGTCTAAAGGAGCCGGGAACCACCCCGGCGGAAGTATTCGGCGACCGGTACGCCTACCACGCGGTAGCCGTTGAAGCATGGCTGGTGTCAACATGGCCGACATCTTTGTTATCGATACGAGGTGGGACATGGCAAACAATATCACCGATTGCACGAGTGAAAACCAAGGTCAAGCGGAGGTTTGCACCGACAAGATAGGTAGAGGTCTAGACAAGCACCAACACCAGACTCGCCTCGGCCCGAATCCAAATCCAAGCCTGCCCCATTTCCCATTTCCCGAGACAAGCACCAGGCAGGCAAACACTCCCCCTACTCGCACTCGTCAAGCTCAGTCCTCATCCCAGTTCTGTCCGAGACACACGGGTTAGCAACATGCATTACTCAATAGAGGGGACGGGCAAACTCACGGCGTTGGGTCCAGGGGGCTTCGGCCCACCGGCTTGCCGGGCAACGATGATCTGGTCGACAGAGAGGACGGTCCGAGCGGCCTCAGTGGCGAGCTTGATAGCCCATTGCTTGCTCACGAGCAGGTCTAGGATGCCCTCCTCCTCGGCGTCGAGCGTGCCGGTGTCATCTTGGTTCTACATAGACAGAAAATTAGTAAAATTATATGTCTGGCGGCTGCTAGTCACGCACCTCAATATCCACGCCCGTAGACCAGCCATCCTCTTTTTGGTGGGCGGCATACAGCCGGCTGAGAACCTCGGTCGCGTCGAGACCGGCGCTTTCGGCAAGGGTCCGCGGCACGACCTCGAAGGCCTCACCGAACTTCTTGATGGAGTACTGCGCCAAGCCCTGTGTCTTGTCGCCGACAGCTTGTATCCTCTCGACGAGCTCAATCTCTGTCGCGCCCGCGCCAGGTACGAGCCGGGGGTCCTTGGTGATGGCCTTGATGACGTTGACGCCGTCGTCGACGGCCCGCTCAATGTCGTCCAGGTGGTTTTGCGTCGCGCCGCGGAGGACGAGCGTTGCCGTCCTCGTGGCATCGTCCTCCTGCCTGAAGACGGTCACGCGGTCGCCGCCAATCTCCTCAGTCTCGACCACGTCGATGTGGCCCATCTCGTCGGGCATGGGGGCGCCCAAGCGGGCAAGCGGTGTGGCGCCGACGACCCTGCATACCCGCCTCAACTCGAACTTGCTGAGAATCTTGATGGTTAGGATGCCGTAGCGGTTGAGGTAGTGCATGGCCAGCTCGCCGACGGTGGAGCCAGCGACGACGACGCGCAGGCCGACGTCGTGCAGCTCCTTGATAGCGGCTTCGAGACGCTCCTCCTCGCCCTTGGTGAACTCGAGCATCTCTTTGGCGTTGTGTAATAAGACGGTGCCCTTGGTCTCTGTCTGGCTGATATCGATGGGGCAGGTGAAAACGCCGACCTTGGCCTTCTTGGCCTTCTTCACGGACCCGTTGGGTTCCTTGGGGAACACCATGCCCCTGACGACGCGGCTCTGCTCTAGGCTGCCACCCATAATCTTGACGACGCGGATGTTGTCCACGTTGAAGTTGGCCGGATTCTTGGGCAGCACCGACAGCACAGCCTCTGCGACCAGGTTGGCCAGGAACTCTTCGTTTCCGTTCTGCTTGCTGGCGATGACGGTCTTTATGGCCTTGCTGATCTCCTCCTGAGACTGCAGGTCCTCCACCTTGTCAACCTCGAGCTCCTCGAGCATCTCAAGGGCGATTTTTTGCGCGCGCTCGTAGCCGGTAACGATGTCGGACGCCTTCAACCCCATGCGTAATAGATCCTCGGCCTTCTTAAGCAGCTCGCCAGCAAGGACGATGACGAAATTCGTTGCGTCGCCCATCTCGGACTCTTGCTGCTGGCTAGCCATGACGAGTAGCTTGGCGGCGGGGTGAACGACATCGAGCTCGCGTAGGATCGTAGCGGCGTCAGAGGTAAGGATCATTTTCTGCAGGTGGTTGATGACGATCTTGTTGCGGCCGTAGGGTCCCAGCGATGTCTGGACCGTCGACGAGATGGCCCGGCAGGCATCGATGTTGCGCAGGACAGCACCATCTTCGGAATCATAGCTATGATGAGCGAACGGGAGCTTGTCAGTACTTGATAGCACGGCGTTTTGATGGAGGCAGGCACCCCAGGACCAGACCCGGCAATTTCAGGGCATGGGGGCGTTTGCCATGGCGGGGTAGGGAATGGCAGGTATAAAAAAGAACCATCAAGAGAACACTTCTACTTACCTGTTGTAGCCTTGCTTGAACAAGCCGGCATTTGGCGCGTTGGGGATATTCAACGACATTTTGGCGGTGATTTTGAGGTGCTCGTGGGGTAGTTCGGCGGAGGTGTCGCCGTTTCGAGTCAACCTGTGGCAACTGAAGCTTCCCGCTGCTGCCCACTCTGGAGATCCATAAAAAAAGTTGGTGAAGCAAATCGAAGTCAACACACACGGCAGCCTTGGCCCCGCAATACCAAGCCCAATGGGAACCCCAGACCTCCAGAAACAAAGGGTGGCTCCCTTGTCAGGTTCCACTGGAGAGCACAGGGGAGAGCGGGTTTGCGCGTGTCAGCCTTGTTGCCATCCCGACTCCAAACTTCCAGGTTACCTACCTCGAATTGGAACCCTGAGCTCAATTGCATCAACTTTTTTCAACTCCAAGCCCTCCCGTACTCACCCATAACGCGATTCCAGCTCTTCTGGCGCCCTAATATCTAAATATTATTCTATTCCCAGCCCACGCAGCACATCACTGCCGTCCAATCCTCGATAGATATGGCGCCTGGTACGTTGAAGCGATGGTTTCTCATTACGACCGTGCAGATGGCATCGATTGAGGTGTTACCGCCATTTGCGCTTTATGGCCCTCGTGTCAATCTCCTAAGTTTGTTGTACATCTTACTAACTGCGATATTTCTCGCCTCAGCGACGTCCGTCCCGCCCGCGCTCCCTCCCTCTGTAGAGGAAGCCTATCGCCGAAAATGCATCCAACTTAAGCAGCGCACTAGCGAGGTGGAGGAGGCCAATGATGCCGCCAGGCTGCGCCTCGCCCGTCTGAAACGACAGGTCGAGAAGATGCGGTTAGAGCGAGCCTTCCTGCTCGAGCAGTTAGTAAAGCGAACGAGCACGAACGTGGAGGACTCAGACGGCAGCCCGAGCCCACCACCGACAGTAAGTCCCCAGCCGGAAAACTAAGTCTCGGGCGATCGCCAACCACGCCCCCTCCCGCTCCGGCAACAATCATTGACACCAACCTCTTCGCCATCATAGCCCAAGGAAAAGCCTTTGCGCATTAAGCGCGGCCATCGCAAGCCTTCCGCGTTTCCCGCCAACCTCGAAGCCCCGTCATCGATCAACGCTGCCACCCCCGGCTCGACCACGTTTATAAGTCAAAACCTGCTCGTCCACTCACCCAGCTCGGACGCCTACTCGGCCGCGCAGCAGGGTGAAGGGGGCAAAACCAACGGCGTGCACAAGGGCGCACCCAAGAAACCCGGTAGCGCATTCGATCTGTACTGCGAAGACACCAGGCCGTCCCTCAAAGAGAAGGCGAAGGAAGGCGACAGCGTGGAGGAAGAGCTTTCCAGCAGCTGGAAGGAGCTGCCCGAGAGCCAGCGCGACGAGTATAAGGCACGCGCCGATCGCCGGATGGCTGATTACCAGAAGGACAAGGACGTATACGACGCGGCCAAGGAGAAGGAAGCTGCAGCCGCAGCCAGCGCTAAGGCAGCGGCGGCCGAGGGCAACGACAAGGCCGGGTCGGCCGAGTCGGACCAGGCCGCTGCCGAGGCGGGAGAGGGACGAGAAGCACAGCAGCAGCCACAGCAGGAGGATGTCGAGATGACGAATTACGACACAGACCAGGAGACGCAAGGAGAGAGGCCCGAGGAGTAGGGTTCCTCAGATGATTTCGATATCCCGGCTCTCCACCCTCGCCTGGAATAAGCGCCACTAAACGGAAATTGCACAAAGTGGGAGGGGGTCAAGTCGCGAGGTTGCTCCAAACTATGTTGACCGCACTGAGGCGGATTATCGATGCCGGGTTGCTATCCATGACATCTATTTGTTTCTCAGCCGCTGAGGAGGCCGGACATTCACGTTTCCCGGGGTTCGGCAATCGCGATGGGAGCGAGAGAACGTTTTTCTTTTTTAGCTTTGTTTGTAACAGTATTTCTCTCAGACTGGTTTCAGGGTGGATTGGGATGGATGGGTTATTGGGGCGAGGCGTGGGTCAGCGGACTTGGTTTTCCGTTTTTCTGCTAAGAGGGTGAACTTTCACGAAGTAATTATACGTCGCGGTGTTTGGATCCGCATCGCTACACATTGGTACTTCGGTCCTCGTTATAAGGAAATGTACCCCAACCTTAAATTTCCCTATTCAACACGGATACAAGCCGTGAAGCACTGCTCTATCCACAAATGTATGCGCATGTAAAAATACAGGTTGGTATGTACACATGTAAGTTGACGCTGCCGGACTGATCTGCTCGCCGCTCCAAAAACAATTACCTTCCGAACCAACGCCAGGTGAACGACCGGAACTCCGAGCAAAGATTATGTATGTATGCCACTCCGCGGGTGTGATGCGATGCTCCAACGGATGAGGAACGACAAGGAAACCGCCTTGTCCGCCCAGCCCCCAAGATGTACGCCGAAAAAGCCAGCGTCTCAAATTCCCACCCACAGATCAACGGCGATATTTACTAGGGCGACTACGATCTCGGCCGCAATTAGGATGATCACTAGCAGGGAGTTAGTACAATAAGATTTCTCGTTCACAGCTGGAAATAGGGGGAGAAGAAGAAAAGAAAAGGAAGAAAAACAGAAGAAAGAAAAACATACCAATCCATTCCAACTTCTCCCCATGGCCATGACTCAACTGCTCCTTCAGCACCGCCAACAAATCGGCAATGACATCCAAGCGCTCCGTCAGCAGGCCGACGCGCTGGTCCATCTCGAGGTAGCTGCGGACGGCCTGGTAGACGGGCTCGAGCTGGGGCTCGACCCAGAAGAGCTCCGGGGTGTCGAGCACGGAGCCGTTGAGGTGCACGCCGATGCGCAGGATGAAGAGCTCGCCGATCTGCATGTTGATCTCGGACCGCGACAGCGCGATCTTGCCCGTCAGCGCCAGCTGCGCCGGTATGTTCTTGCACGTGTCGATGGTCGAGGCGATGAGTTCTTCGAAGAGGGAGGTCTGGAGTCGGGGGCGTGAGTGTGCGTGTGAGTTTATTGTTTTGTCAAGAGAAGAAGAGTGGGAATAAAAAGAAAAAAAAAAGGGGGGGGGGGGATTTGCTGACCTTGACACTCTGCGCGAGGGCGTGGGAAATGGCTAGCTTGGTCATGTAGTTGCCCTTGTCGCGGAGCGTGATAAAGTCGTTGTAGATGCGGGCCTGGTACTCGTGGGTGTAATAGAAGTTGAACTTCTCCGTCTCGACATCGTCGGGGGCGAGCTTCTCGACCTCGAATTTGGAGAGCTCTTTAAGGAAGCGCTGCTCTTGGGCGGCCGACATGCCCCATATTACCACCACGCCGTATTCGAAGAGGAACACCTCGGGGGTGTGCACGTGGATGTCGAATTCGACGAACTCATCGGCCATGGCTTCTTCCGGGATTTCTTGGACGAGGATATCATCGGTAGGGTCGTGGGGTTGGGGGATGCCGTTGCCGAGGGTGGAGTGGCTGGATTCGCTGGGGATATCGTGCACGTTGCCTGTCGAGTGGCGCCTTTCTGGGTTCGACTGGACCTCGAGGAAGTTCGCTTGCCGTGCGTTCTGCACCTGCTTAGAGCTGTAGCTGTACGGCGTGTAGATGCACTCGTCGATCAGCTTGGGGTTCGCTCCCCTCCCTTTCCCTCTCCCCTTCATGAAGTGTAGTAGGCCGTCCATTTGGTACCTATTCGCCGTGCTGTACGCAGTAACCCGTGGTAACTTGTCGCGGTCTGCTTTCCCGAGGCGGGCGGCGTCGCGGCGGGCGGTTGGGTCCTTGATGCGGGTGTATTGCGAGTAGACATCGCGACCGCTCTCCTCGTCACTGTCTCCTTCTGGTTCGGGGGTCGGCAGAAGCTTGAGTTTCTGGGCGTTCTTGGTGCTGCGCTGCGGGCCAATCTTGGGCAACCCGGCGGCAGCGGTGACTAGTGGCAGGCCGCCGGGATGCCCGCTCGGGACGCCGCCATGGCTGTTGCGGCGGAGGAGTCTGTTGTTCAAGGCAGAAAACATGGGCGGGCCACCACCTAGCCCACTGATGCTGGCTGGGGAGGTGGGTGGGCGATACGACTGCGGCGCATGCCCACGGGCATGCTGTTGGTACGCGGCGTCCGGCTCGATTGTCTTGCTGACGGGGTTCGGGTTGAAGGTGACTGTTCTCGGCGGTCTCGGCAGCCTTGAAGATTCGGGGGAGGGGGCGTCGGCCGTTGAAAGGAGGGGCGTGTTCTCGGATGCAGAGCTGTCGGCCATGTTGAGGGGTGGTGGCGACGAGTAACGGCTGAGTGGTAGATAAACCTCGGGCTGGTGGTGAAACCGTGAAACCGTGAAACACACGTCTCGGCCCTTTTCTCAGATACAGCGGACGAAAACGACAGAACACGAACTCTGTGGATATCTGGTTAATGCGCTACCATGTCATAAGAATGCCAATGTGGTATGGCTGTTCGTTTCTGTATTGTCGGTGTCAATTGACGTTGTTGGCGGATTGGTTGGTCAAGTTCAATCGGCCTAAATTGTTTTGCGTTTCAACGGTTACCTACTTATGACGTCTGGGCCCTCCTCAAACAGAGCAACAGTCCCAAATCTAGGCGTCTGCACCGGCGGGGATGGCGCCAATCCAAGCCGAGTTGGGACCTTTTTTCAGCGCTCTTGCCCCACTGGTTCCATTCCTTGGCTTGGCCGTTCAGCCGTTGCACATTGCATCGATTCGCTTCTCGATTCCAAGCATTGGTTTCCCGATTCGCTGAGGTAAACCACGAACACGAGATGGAAAGGCGGGGAAGGTGCTAAAACAGCGAATACTTGGGATGGGATGCCTTCTCCAAACACCAACCATCAATCCTCAACCATAAACAATAAATCATAATCAGGTTGCGTACGTAGCCTTTACTATGACCAGCTCTCCAAAGGTTCACAACACCATAGCTGTGAACTCGGGATGCCTTTGCTTCGGTGAACTGCACAACATTTGGAATGGCGCATCGGTGCCCGTTCAATTTGAAGGCTTGCCCTCCCCTCGACCCCGACTATCTGGGACCGTCAAGGTGCACCGTATTGAATACAATATCGCTGCGCGGAACGGGATATGGAATGGCTTTCGACTCATAGACCTCAAAACCAAAAAAGTAGCGGCATGGTTTCTCGCCCACTCCGACGTCGATCCCGAGAAAGAAGTCGACAAGATCCTCCGTGTTTCTGGATCACCTTACGAGGACGAGAGCGGGAGCAGCTTCAATGACGACAAGACCGCCGCAGAAGGCGTCTTTGTTATCAACCGCTATGATTGGGGGTATTACGACGAACGGTCGCGGGAGATCGTGGAGCCTGAGGAAATCAACGAGGAGTTATTTGCATCAGTAGGTCTCGTCGACCTCAGTGCGGCCAAGCCTACAGTAGACCGATGGAAGGATCACCGTTCCAGGGAGAGGCAGTGGCTTGAGGGCGGTGCGTGGCTTCATATTCCTAACGGGGAATATTTGTTTGGGCGCTTTGGTTTCGATGACGATCATGCCGCAGCTCGTTCGTTTCTCTTCTTCACCACCAACACTTACTTCACCCGGACCGCTTTTGACGGCCTGGAACGGACCTTGAGGAAGGAAGTGACCCCGGAGGAGAGGTTCGAGCGCAAGCTACAAGAGGGCTTCGACTTCTCCGGACTAGAGACACTTCGCGAGCTATCTCGAGTACCCGAGCATAGTGGTGTATCGCGTCCGCCACGGGCCGACTGTCTTGGACCCTACCGCCAGAGCGACCATGTCTTGAGAGCACAGGAGATCGATGCAATCCGCGTGTATCGGGACGCCGAAGAGCTGAAGCTGTTTGTTCATGGACGCGACCTCAGCCATCTTCGTATGGAAGGAGAGATTGGCGAATTTATTGAGCCTTGGGCAGAGCCACTGTACGATGTTGTGAACGAGATGGTCCTGAGCTATCTCCAACGGAGCGTCATCCCGAACATGGCCAACCGTGGGGTCTCTGCCGCCGCCGAACTGTTATTCCCTCAACATACTCCGGAGGAAGACACCGGGAAGTTGGATGTTTGGTGCCACCGCCATTTCAGACAGCCAGACGCTCGGCCAATACCCAACTTCGACAGTGCCTACGTGGGCAGCCGGATCGCATCATTCCTGTCTCGATCCGCAGACGCGTCTGCTGTGTTTGAGGACGAATGCGTCGCAGGGATTACAAGGGCGGTGGCCTACATGCTTACCGACGTGTTGGAACGGGCTAGCAAGGGTGCGCACCAAGACGATATGCGCACCAGGATCATGCCAAGTGACGTCCGTATAGCCGTCTCCCTTAGCTCCGAGCTGCATGATCGTTTCCGGTTTTCAATAGTTTACTGGGAAGGGAGGACTGGCTCAGTTTCCCCAGAATGACAGCACCGGATGGTTGGCAAGATGGTCACCAGAGTTGAGAAACCCTGTCACAATGTCGCTATGGACCAGATATGTCTTTACGTGAATGTCACGAACCTTCCGCCAGACTTCGACTCGTGGGTAAACTTTCTTGAGACTGACGGCATATTGGGAGGTTAATGAGATAAAAATATTCCGTCCTCCCACGTTCTTGTGCTGCCGCTCTGAGGACTGACTATTATTGACCGGTATATCCAGCACGGTATTTGCGCGCCAATGACATGGAAACAGAGGCTTCTCTCTCTCTCCGTCACAACGCATTACGAAGCCACGGCGCGATATGCCCGGCTAGCCCTTTCGTTTAAACCCAGGTATGTGAGTTACATTTTCCGTCCATTGAAGTCCCGGCTAAGATGTCCAAGAAGTCGACCACGATCGCGTATCTGGGTACCTGGGACGCAGATCCAATTTACCCAACCAATCCTCTGTGGCGGTACCTGGGCTGGTAATTGTTTCGGCACGTAGTTCTCGCGCTCCAATCCGATGACCCATCCAGAGAGAGAACCTTCGCGCTCCAATCCGGAGGATCCATTCGTATGGATGATACCGCTCATCACCAGGGTGCTGGAGAGTTTGATAGTCTAGGTATCGCCACGAGAATATAAGTACAGGGCCGCTCCCAGGCAAAGAACATGGGGAGCGATATCAGCTGCTCGATGTTAGGCACACAAGTCCAAGCTCGCCAGATTCAAAAAGCCACCTCACGGCCAGCATAATCCCACCATGTTCGGCCCTACCCAGTCGATGCTCAAGGGCATCGCCGTCGCAGGCGTGCTCCTCGGCGGTAGCGTCCATGTGGCGCGGGCCGACAACCCCATCATCCAGACCCTCTATTCCACCGACCCGGCACCGTACGTGTGGAACAACACAGTCTGGCTGTTCACGGGCCATGACGAGAACGGTGCAACGAACTACGATATGAGAGACTGGCGACTCTACTCGTCGACAGACATGGTCAACTGGAGAGACTGGGGCGTCATGATGAGCCTCAAGACGTTCAGCTGGGCCAGGGCAGACGCGTGGGCGGGTCAGGTCATCGAGCGGGACGGCAAGTTCTTCTACTACGTGCCCGTGACGAAGAACAGCGGGGGGTATGCCATTGGTATCGGCGTAAGCGACAAGATCACGGGGCCGTACAAGGACGCCTTGGGCAGGGAGCTGCTGGCCAACGGAGGCATCGATCCGACCGTCTGGATCGACGAGGACGGCCAGGCGTACATGTATTGGGGTCACTCTGGCGCCTACTACGTCAAGCTGAACAAGGATATGCTGTCGTACAGTGGCGGCTTGGTCAGCACCTCGGTCGAGAACTTCATCGAGGGCCCCTGGCTCCACAAGCGCAACAGCACATGGTACCTCACCTACTCCAGCTTTGGCGGCTCCAACGAGGACATCAAGTACGCGACAAGCACAAAACCGACCGGGCCCTGGGCCTCCAAGGGCCAGATCATGGCGCCGCAGGGCAAGTCGTTCACCAACCACGCCGGCATCATCGACTACAAGGGCGGCTCGTACTTTTTCTACCACAACGGCGCGCTCCCCGGCGGGGGCACCTACTCGCGCTCCGTGTGCGTCGAGAAGTTCTCCTACGGCTCGGACGGCAGCATCCCCAAGATGGTCATGACGGACGCGGGCGCGCCGCAGATCGAAGCGCTGAACCCCTACCAGCAGGTCGAGGCCGAGACCATCGCCTTCTCGTCCGGCCTGACCACGGCGGCCAAGAGCGACGGGGGCATCTACGTGACCTCGATCAGCAACGGCGACTACATCAAGGTCAAGGGCGTCGACTTTGGCACGGGGGCTGCGTCTGTGGATCTCCGTTTGGCTGCCGCCTCCGGTGGTGGCAAGATTGAGCTCCGCGTGGGCAGCCAGTCCGGGACGGTGATTGCGACGTGCGCTGTGGATGCCACGGGCGGCGCGCAGACGTGGAAGACGGTCTCGTGTCCTGTTACTGGCGCTTCGGGCAAGCAGGATCTGTTCTTTAAGTTCTCTGGCAGCAACTACAACTTTGACTGGTGGCAGTTCAAGCACGCTGCATGAAGCCTGTTCGGGCACTGGGGTATGTTAGCTAGGTAGTAATGAACATGGAAGACGAAAGAATACCTGAAAAACAGAAAGAATACCTGCTTTGGGGGCGTGTGATGAGGAAGGATGGTGTTTGACCACCATGCGTTGTGATGCAATCCTGGAACACGTCACAATCCAACTGACCCCTTTCCCCCTTTTTTTCTTTCACTTGGGAGTTTCTGCTCTTCAATGTGACGCTCGGTCGGTGGTTGATTTTGTGAGTAGTCGGCTGCTAGTCTCATCTTGCCCGTCTCCATCTCTCACCCCCATGCTCCCTTTTGCTCGCTATACGGGGTTTGAATGATCGAATGAACCCAACAACAATCCCCCACACCATCCACTCCCCTCAGTCCTCTTCATTAACCTCGCCGTCCGACTCCTCCTCCACCAAACCAGGGAATCCCGGCGCCACTTGCTTACCTACCGCCACGGCGTACTTGGACCCCGGCATCACGCGCTTGGACTTTTGCTCCTTCACGGTGTCCTTGAACGCCTGCATGTCGGCGTGGCCCGTCTTCTCTAGGTGTTGCTCGAAGTCCCTGACGTCAGCAAGGAGCTTCTGGTAAGCTGTGCTCTCCCGGAAGGCCTTCTCGAGTTCTTCGGCCGTCTTGGGGCAGCGGGCTTCCCACCCATCGCGGAATTGCCTCGAGTTCACATCGCAGATGGAGGTGAGGAAGTCGGGAGTTGTCTGTCGCGGCGGGGCGTAGAAACCGAGGTCCTCGAAGTACTTACGCGCCTCCTTGGCGGGACCCTGGTAGAGCATGCGGCCCTGGTCGATGACCATGACCTTGTCCATCAACTCGTAGATGCCCTCGCCGGCCTGATACAGCGTGGTGAGGGTGGTTCGGTCCGAGACATCAGTCATGATGCGCAACGACTTGGCGTAGTCGAGCGCGG